TGTGTCTGGTAACGGCGACATTCGCAATCAGTTGTAACGCGACGATGACGTTGTGATAAGCGCTTTGTGTCTCTTGGGATGCTTTTCAGTGACGCAAACGATCTAACAATAAAGATGATTTCATTTGCTGCTGCAGAACAAACTAGCGAAACGAATCCTGTCATTATAAGAGGGAAGTGCCTGCGAAAAAAAACTTACGAGAGATAACATTTCGTTTGGAGTTAACGTAATTTTGTTTAATTAGTTCTCACTGTAACAGCGTTTAAACTTACCTTTACTCTGCAGCCACAGTTTACATATATAGATAACCACAGGCAGAACGACGCTGGATTATATCAAGTCGGAAGTATGAATGGTGTCACTTCAAGCTCAAAAAGAAAAGTGTTTTTCTTTAGCCGCCCCCAGGCTTCGTGACAAAGTACATGGATGCCTCAAGGATATTTCTCGCATCTGTGATAGTCCGTATAGTGGTTAGAGCAACGTCTAGCTTGTTTCTATTTTTACTACGGAAGCCTGTATATCATTAATTGAATTCCACGTAGATTTCCGTCTTTTAAGAGCGTTCCAACTAGGGCTAAAGAGTTTCATTCTGTTTATTCATAATGCAAACATGTATGCTTATTATATACGTCTTAATGAGCAGTAGACCTTTTATGACTAATGATTTTTCATACTGCTACAAATGGTAAATTTTTGAGTATTACGGGCACACTTCGGCGTTTACTAAAACATTTTCGTTAAATTGTACGTTGTATAAAGTGGAATTCGATGTAATTTTTTTTTATTTATTTATTTATCTATTACGCATAATAGTATAAAACCTGTATACACATTTCTAGCTACCTACATATCGCCATGTGCTATACCATAATTTCGTACCTTGTAATTTTAACTCGATCTGTCCATATACACGCCCAGGTTTGGCCTATTCCTCATTTATTTTGCTTGGTTGACTCATTCCAACTCTACTAAACACATGCATGCATCAAAATATTGCCAACCGCCAAAAAGCGAAAAAAAAATCGTTAAAAATTTCTGAAAAATATAGAAAAAATAGGTGTTGCCATTTTCAGAGAGTTTTTCGACGCTCTACGTGTTTGCCTTCAAGAGGCCATAAGGAACCTGAGGATATCCGTTTCATCGACTTCGCTCGTCTTCGTGTTCTACCTTGAATGTTCCGCTATGAAGAAGATAAACCAAATTTAAGCTCAGCATAAGAATATATGGTTCTCAGTGTTAACCGATCAGAGTAAGCCGCACACTATACCGCCTTGGAGCTTTGTCAGAGTAACTGGGGCACAGAAAAAGATGTGCTAATATGAAACAGGATGGTAATGAGAGTGAAGGAGTATAGGGAAATCCTTATGAGCTGATGAGAGGTACTGCATTGAAACTCAATTTTACATAAGCACACGGAATATACCAACAAAACATCACAGAAACTGAACGCCGTATACCTAAATATATTTCGAAGTTCGAAATAACATAACCTGTGTTGTAATGATGCCTACTCTCGTAATAGTGCTATAAAAAAAAAATTGTTGAACGACTACATAGGCTAATAACGGTAATCTTTTTCTACTAGAGTAATGAATTCCGTACCTGGTCTGCGTAGCGTCTCTCCTATATTGCGCTTTATTATGGACCTAGTTCTAATTTTACAATATTTGGGTACACGATTTGTCTTTTCGCAGTCATGAAACTCTAAGAGATACGTGTTTTGTGCAAAAAAAAATAACATTAAGGGTTTCTGGGTGTGTCTCAGACGCAGCAGACGAATATCCACGCGTGATGTATTCCTAGAGGCACTAACGCTGTGCGACACCTTTAGGCTGCGTTCATGACGAATGCATTTTTAAAGTACAATAACTACGGCACGGAAAATTGATTATTTTTATTTCCCTCCATCTAGACCAGAACCTTGGCAGATGTGATAAATATTTTGTAAAACCTACATAATCGCGATAGAGTTCAATCCGCCGTAAAAACGGCATGTAGAATGTAGAAAAACGGAACAAGCATTTTTGAAGGTTTACGTTCCACTGAACATTATAATAGGCATACTATTACACCTAATACCAATATTAGAAGCCCGTTTGCCTTTTAAACCCGCTTAGTAGACTCAAATTTTCTGCAGGGTAAAAAGTTCGATTGTGCTGTTCACGATTATGGAGCTTTACGTAACTTAACGTTAGCGCCCCTTGGTTCTGTATCAGCTTACGCCAAATGATCGACCTACCGCTTCACACAGTAGCTAATAGTCTACGTTAATTTAAAAATTTCAAACTTTATTAGATAATATATAGTGACGTTCTTGTACATAGTTAGATATTATTATTATAGCTGGAAACAATAGGTTCCAAAGATCCATTACAGAATGAAAACTCTAAACGACACAAGTGTATCATAAAATTAAAGATCACACAGCTTAGATTGAGATGTTAGGTCTTTGAAGATGATTGATTGGCATAGAAGAATTACCAGCTTAACACAAAATTACCATCTACATTTAAAGTTGTATAGGGCCGATAAATACTAATGGCCCTTTACTGTATCGACAAAATGATTGTTTTGAATTAAACGGGTTGTTGGTTGGGTGCAAATATGAATGAAAGTAATCAATTAAGGAAGACTCCCATTATAAAATCGAATATATATAAAAAATATATATTCGATTTTTCGTGTTGTAACATTTATATTAATAGACAACCGGTTCCTTTTGCTCAACTTAGAGATGTAATGATGATAATAATAGTAATATAGTCTTCATCGTAAATATCTTTTATTACCCTATTTTACAGTTGTTGTCTATAGCAGGATTTTGGCAAAAGAAAATTCCGAGCACCGGAACAACAAGCTATGCTTTATTTACATTGTGACAGATGAGCTCATTATATAGGCATAAATTGCGAGAGCGATTAAGCTATCTGTCTCACGCGATCAAGCAAAAGCTTGCAATATGTTTGACGAAATGCTATAAAGACAGTTGGTGTTTAGTAGATACGTAAGAATACCGATCAAATTCGATCGAATATACACCAACTAATACCTCTATTTTGATCTTTGGATTAAAGCACACTTATAGAAAAGTATAAACATGAAAAGCGTAACAACATTGCAAAATGGTACAGCTAGAAAATGATCATAAACAAGAAAATGTACATCTTGTTGTTGGGATACGGAACACCACAGACTAATTCTCGAAGGTTGTCTATGACACCTCAACCTATGCGGGTGAATACCCTTAAATATTCATCACTTGTCACTATTTACCGACCTACTGACATTGTCTTTAAAAGAAGTTTATGTCAAAATAAATGTAATAATGACGTCCGTTACTGAAACAAATAATCATATATATAGTAAGAAAAATCCGTCTGGACCTGCGCACCAGTTCTAGGTAACTATAGCCCTTTACGGAACTGCAACTGCTGGCAATACCCGACAGCTTGGCTTTCTCTTTTCATCGCAACTCCCGATCTATAGGGTCGACGTTTATATGTCAGACAAATGAGTCGTACCAAAGTCCTACGTTCTGTTATCACCCCACGCGAACACGATTTTTTGGTAAAGAAACATCGATATAAACCAAACGGAACGAATTTCACGTTTGCTCTCCTCATCCACTAAACCATTTCAGGCGCATCTTGGCCTTCCAGTAGGTCAATCGTAGTATTTTGTATATGTAAAATATGTCCTTGTATTTTATCTTTGAAGGTTCATATAGAATAGAAAAAAATGATGACAGATTATTATACGAATCCATTGTGAATTGATAGAAAATTTGAAAAAAAAATCATATGAACTGTGCATATATTACACAGTAGTTTCAACAATGGCCATTTCTATAAGAATGGCACTCGTCAAGGGTCGGAATAGCTCTATATGCTCTATACTCAGACGATTCTTTATTGCGTAGTTTAGCCGTCCCGCTTGTTCAGTATCGTGAACGCTAGGCGAGACAAACTTTGTATGTGCAAAAAAAATAATTCGATTGATCCTTCAGTTACCACTTACTTATCGTATGCCTGCCAAAAAGAAGTGGTTCGAAATTGGAAGAATACCTGCGAGCGACCATTGCTTATATCATTAGTATTATTATATAACATATTATATAACATTGGTGGAATGGCATATAGGATTACTACAAGGTATTTCAGATGGAATTGTACCAAGCTATATTAAACTAGTGACCAAAACTGGATGTTTACATTATTGACAGTTTTTTAGTCGGATTTCGCTTGATATAGGTTGCGGTTGTATACGGTTGCTAAATTTTCTGCAACAACAACAAAATAAGCTGGCACCATGATGTGCCTTAATACGAATTTTTCCTATTTTCTCACATAGCAAGACCCTTCATATGAATAGGAAACTTTTATATTTTTTACAATATCTACATTAAAGTGTTGAATTATATTAAATTGAAAAATCGTTTCATACATTGTAATAGTATGCTATTGTAGTATGTCCATCCAATACGTTCAAGTATAAATATGTGCCTAACCAACAAACTGTTATTGTTATTATTTAAACGAAGAGTTCGAATTGGTTACACTTACTGGTTACACCTATCGTTAAGCAATAAGAATGAGCGTTTAAATTAAATTGAAAATTGCAAGTTTTAAATAAAATTGTTACATAAAATATTGTTATCCCATGAAAAGGACGTCATTAACACGTAAATTCTTGATCAAGTCAGTGAGCTGAATTCTGTGAGGTTTACATAGTAATAAAATTGCAGCCAGATACCTATATTTTATATATTGTCTATAGATTTCCTACGATTAGGAAGACTGCTGCCAGTTACCACGACGGCTGCGAGCAACAGCGGATGACGGCATCCGACCGGAGTTCTTAAATGAAGCGTCCTCCTTTCCGTCGGGTATCCTTTCCCCATCAATACGAAGGCTCCTGAAGCCATAGAATTCGACCGTAAGTAACTGGTCTTCAAGCAGGAATCGCAAAAACGGGTCTAGCCAAATTTACCTACAACAGAGCTATTTTCAACCAGTGTGTAGATCACACCAGTCGCGCTTGCGGTGCTTGTGTTCGTTCTGTATTTCGACAATGTGATAAGTAGAAAAAATTCTGTGTGAAGCCGACCTGAATTCGAAACAAGCGCTGCTTCTTTGCGTTCACGATTGAAAAGATTTTCCGTTACTGTTATAGACCAAGATATAGGGGCTCCATAAATATAGAGCTGTCCTACAGACGCTCTTCATGCTTACGGACGAGGCAGCGAATAACGGTGGTAAAATCTGGCAAGACGTATCATCGTTGAGGCATTCATAGAAGATTATATCGTATAGCTTTAAAGCCATGTATGGTATCTGACTAGTTTGAGTACTAACAAAGTTATTCTGCAAAGTGTCAGACTGTCGTGAGGTGAAGAGTGGATTACGTAAATATTCAGAATACGCAACATACATATAGTATCAAATAAGAACGAAGACCAAATTCAGTGGATGTATATCGTTGTCGTGCATCAAACGTCATTGCATTTAAAGAGAATGTTCATATTATGATTATTACTTCCGATCATCATTTTTGTGTGAATGCAATTCACGAACAATGCATCCCGTTCTATGTAAAGCCCAGAATGGACTGGTAAGTTATCAACGCTAAGCTTAACGCTAGAGGCTCACTTCCGGATTATTAAAATATCTAACTTAGGGATAACCGTCTTGTATGTAGCAATCTTTCTAAAACCTTTTGGATTTAAGAAAGCCCATTGCTAGCCCGCCGCTGTATATAAATAGTTTTGTCGTTTTAGAGCAATTAAGCGAGCATCATACAAGTTTCTCATCCACCGTATCTCCTTCATTTATAGTTAGCAGAAAAATAAACGACGACTTGCACTTATTGTACACTGTAATAATTACACTCTTTACTAACTCGCTTAGTCCAGCTACACTCCATTAACTTACAGGGTCTTACCAGACGAACGGGGGCGTTTGGCGCGTGTTATTTTCTCTTATAGGGTAAACTACGATCTTATGTCATAAGGGATTGATATTATCTTTCTTGCCTAAAACGAGTATATCTGCCTTTATCCTAAAAGAGCAGGTGCGGGTTCATAAGCTATCGCCTATAGAAAGAAAAGTGTTCTTAATTAGCGACGGATTTACATCTAGTCATCAAAAATGGCGCCTAAAAAAGGCGCCAACATGTAAAAAATCGGTGTAGAACGAGAAATAAAGATGACACAAAGCGAACAGTTCACACATTAATTACTATTTAAAAGCCAAAATTAGCTTTTTTTTTTTATTAGGATGAGTAAACAAAAATCCTTAATTACATTTTAGAGATTTTTACAGCTTAATTTCATATAAATTACAACGAACAGTGATCCTCGACAATTATAACTAAACGACGCTTTGTCAGCTAGAACTATAAAAGAAAAAAGCATAAATATATGTATATATATTTTCATAAAGCAATGAGCTTTTATATTGGTAGGGTATGCAAGTATATATCCAAGTTGATATTACTATTGCAATGCTGATGATACCTTGAAAAAGAAGAATGATCCAAAGTCGCTGGCACGTGCCTTGGGCTCCAAAATTTGATCAGTGAGAAAACGACGCTTATGATGGCCTCGAATCTCTAATTCCTGACTCAACTGTCTCTGCAGAAGCAAGATCCGTTCGTGGTCTTTCGTGCCTCACATTATCAGCGAGCGAGTCAGTCCCTTGACCTTTAAATCAATATCCTCAGTGTTATCTTCATCAACAAGACGTGTCGTCCGATATTTGAAATATTACACTATCGTCCCGGTAAACTTGAAATAAACACTATTCTAAGCTACAGCGATCACCCTTTGCAAACCGCGAACGCTGCTGTGCTTATCGCTCGACGTCTGTTTAACCGACGCAAAAAAAGGAGTGTGAGATGAAATATAAACATTTGGCATGTCCTACACCATTGCCTTCCTGACTCTTTCCTCGATGTGGGCTTTTCTTCGCAACTCTTTCTTCTTTGGATTTCCCGTACGCATAACAATCATTATACAACCATTATACAAAACGTGTAGAATCTCGTTTTTCTTCATGCAAGCCTTGAACAGGCCGTTGCAGCAATGGGCAAACACCATCGGCATCTAGATTCTGTCTGGTCTGAATGCGTTCTGGCTCGATCATTCGAGATTTTCAAACAGCTGGCATGAGTTTTTGCAAGGCAGTTCGACTGGAATCGTATTTTTAAGCTCAAGGATCTCTCTGCAGTGGTTTTGGAAGACTTCTGATTTAACCGAGCAAATTTGATCTTGTGGGTCTACAACGTTGAAGCTCAACATAACGTTTCGCAGAGTTCCTCCTAAGATTTTAGGCTCTCGTTCCTTTTTTAATAAATTTCACATTCTTGAGGCGAGACTTATAGGATGTCGATCTTTTTTCGCCACAAACGGTTCGACGTATTGTTGATTTTTCCTTTACCCCTTCCCGAAGGTGAAATGTGCTGTGGAACATCTTAGGTTCTACCATGTCCGACTAGGTGAGGCTATTTTAGGATTTTCAGGCTCTACCCCCAAAAAGCTTGTTAGCGCTCAACTGTCTGCCTTCGAGTTATCGTTTCTGAAGCGGTGTATCCTTGTAAACATAATGCGATTTTCATCTTGATAGCAACATAATATTCACTAGGAGAAAAATTTTCTATATAGCACATTCTCCTTGCCGTGGCTGGAAATCTCATGAATTCTAAGACGCTCGGCACTTCTGAGTCAGTGACAGTCTACAAATTAAATGATCCCAAAATTTCTTGACGATTATTCGGCCAAAATTTCGTCTCTAACTTTTGGACTATTTATGAGAATCATTGGCGTTCGACCACTTCCAGATCGCGTAGTAAACTTTGTTACAGGTGATCGTACATACGTTGCAATTATGCTGACCCCTAATCCGTCACCCTTAATTACTACGTAATTCTCTTCCGTATGTAATTACGTTATCGTAGCTAGGCTATAGCTGCAGAAAACAGTAATGTCACCGCGTGATAAACAGCGCTGCAGAGGTTGGCCGGGCTATATGCGGCGTAGAAGTTCAAAAGTGTAATACAGTTTGAATTTCTGTCGATACTAAAACATCATCGATTTATTGGACGGCGGTAGCAGGTGATGCAAGTACAAACAGCGAAGTGCTTTTGCAGTTACTTTACACTATAGGGATGTTTGTTTAGGGTTTCTTCCGTCTGGGTGTTCGTTCCTTGGAGAACTTCTACGATAGACTGTTCTGTTCTTTTGTTCTTTGCTGACTTCGAAGCCTGTGGAGCAACACCGGTCGCATCGCTCAGGTATCTTGTGATTCATGTCTTTAAGGAATAGGTTTTTAACTTTTGTTGACATTCAACTCCAATGTCGAGGTGGAGCTAGATTTTTCCGTTAAGTGTCCATTTATTGGTTTGGCGGAGAGACGAGGCAGGTCGGCTGCTTCTTTTAAGTTACCTGTTTTTCTCTACACCACACTGAACATTTGACAGAGATCCTCAGTCGCAGCATTTGTGAATGGTGACAAAGTAATCTAATTGATATTCATTAGGGCCTTGAATGCTTTATAAACAACTTGATCAGTCCTATATATATATATATATACACGTTTAAAAAATGCTTATGTTGTTTATTTTTCTTGCCAATAGGCTTAACAAAGTGAATTTTTTCATTCGTGATATCTAGTAATAACTGACCAGCCCGCTCTTGTATGTGGCTTACAGATTTCTGTCTCATATAAAGCCTTGCTGTCATCCTATCTTCCATGGCTCGTTTTTTGTGATTTAGAATTCGACGTTGGTCGTTTGAACAACCAATTTGTTAGAATTACAGTATCTACTTGTGTTTTTCGTGACGAGTACTCAAGCGATTCAAGTTGTTTTCATAGCGAAACTTTAGTAATCGTTGTGTTTCACGATGGAGCCAGTAATACACTTGAACGATTATACAATTTTTGTAGCTGTCAAGGGTCTCGAAATATTTACCATCTTCGTTTGTCTGACGGCAGACGGCGGATATACCTAGTAAACTCATTAGGCACTTGTTGAAATTTAAAGTTTGCTCAGTAATAAAATCATAGTGATCTATATGATCAGCGGCGTTTAGAACACGTGCCGCTGTCATTTTCACTATCACTACTTGACAAGTAGATCTTTCGGAGGATGTAAAGAATCAAAATTATTGTGACTGGTATCGTGAGAAATTGCGTTATTTAACCCAACCGTTAGCTACTAGAATTTCAATGGTCACTGTTAAGGGTTAGCTAAGGTGAAAAAGGGGTCCGACTAGAAAGTGTACAAAAGTTCAGATGCGTCGCACATCGTACACAGATCCAATATGCGGACTCTACGACAACATGACAATGGCACATATTCAAATAGACATCTGTAACATACCATATACCATGTGCCCAGGCAGAAGTGCCTTAAAAGTGACGAATGTTGTAGCTTGCCAAGGATACCGACCACTCAAGGGAAACGAAGTGTACGCCCTCTAGCTGTCTTTCGCGAAAATGTCTGTGTGATATTGGAGAATTAATATCGCTGGCTTTAAATATTTACAGGTTGCAGTTTTGCAAGAGTTCCGTGCCTATTGGATTTCCCTACTTGTGCTAATAGTCTTGGCGCAACAGCTGCCTCACCTGTCAGCCGTCCTACAGGTTAGCTCGGTCCAACACAAACATATAGCATTATTTCCACATTTTCGCGCTGGGTAGTGAAATAGAAGCAGCGTGTATCATTCCATCGGTACGAAGCACTAAACTCATTTGAGACAGCTGCTTTAACTAACATTTAATTTTAACGAATATCAACAATCGCCGACTGATCCCGCCAGTATCAGCATCGGAAGCTATTAACTTATTCAAAACGCTTAAGAAGTAATTTAACTTCATCGCACGTATTTTATTGGCGATGTACTACTTACAGTCATTATAAAAACAACGCATTTTTCAGTTGTGTCTAGGAAAAGTAATTCTCAATGGCACTATCGGATTTATTGATCTTAGCCATTGTAAATAGATATATACTTTCTTTTATAAATTAATATCGATACTTATTGGTATTACTGTGTAGGTTCATATTCGTAAAAGATACAGAGCATGTGTGCATTTTGTAACCTATAGAAATAATACGCAACACCATGGACGTTTTGGAGGATCACATATTACTTAGGTAGTAGTGCACAAAACAAACGGTTGATTTTCTGTATGTATACCTCCTTGCAAATAAAAATAAGCAATTTATTATTACTCGGATAGCCAACTAATAAACTGATCTACAGCAATAAGACTTAACCTTTAGAAAAATCTAATTGTTCCATGAATGCGGGAGTGGACGACCCGACGGACGTGGCGGTCGATCAGATATGTATATAGCGCTGCCTGAATTCAGTATCAGTCAAGAAAGTGTGACAGCCAATAACCGCGCGTCGCTTTTGTTGATATTGTTTTTCCGCTTGGCAATTGATGAATAGTATAGAAGTGTTCATCAAGGCTCGGACACGATAATCGACAGACCGTTTTCAGGACTAACGACATAGGAATTGACACGGAATAGGATCGTCGATGTGTCTACTTATAGGTGATTTAGAACAACAGATTTAGCATATTTTAGCCATTGTTATAACTGCTGTTAGGTTAACAAATTTAATTAATTAACGCAATCCATACGAATGACTCTGTATTCGATCAGGCGGCTGGATTTGGAGGTGCTCTTATAGTAGCAGCCGTTATATCTGGATGGCTTGCAACAGAGCTGTTCCTTAGAGGGCCTCGTATAAAATCGAAGGGGAAGGCCGTCCTTATTACAGGTATTGCATTATTTTCTCTAATATGTCACTTGGTTCATTTATCGAATTTTTCATTCGTTTTTGTCGATTTAATTTAAAAGCTAACATTTTTTAATATGCGTATATATATGCAACCCTTTAGCCTGATATTTGCTTTTCAAACACGGACATGCTGTCTATGCTAGTTACAAGATCTTTTTCTAACCAAAAAATAAAAAACCTTTAAAAGCTTCAGGATTACAATCATTTTGTGGAAGCACATTAAATTTATAAAGCGTAGTGAATCACTTCAGTGGTATGTGTATATGTCTCTCAATGAAATACCTAACATTCGAGTTGAGATCCTTTTTTGTTCGACAACTCTATTTCAATGGCTCTGATCGCGTGCGTCATAAAATTCTACCTGGTCCCTGCTTTTTGTGGCGGTCGGTATGTTCGATGAAATATGAATTAGTTTGCGGTTATGGCTTTTTGCCGGTATCAAAGAATAGCACGAAAAATTAAGATGTCTACTACTTGTACGGCGCAAACTCTACATTAAGGGGATATTGGTTTATCTGACAATTATTCTTCTTCCAAAAAGAGTCTCGAAGACTCAAGGTAATCATTATAAAATTCAAAAAATTGAGTGAATGCGTCATTTAGGTCCAATATGTTATTTTTGAACTTAGCAAATTACCCTAGAGCAGTACTCTCAGTTAGGAAGTGTTTGCCAAATACGCTACATCTATCGCGGGTCTTTTTGACTTCATACGAAGAGTCGGGTACACGCCATACGTTTCCGCCCCGCTACTCCTTCTTAGCGAAAGCTCATGATAACCTTGTTTAACAAAGACAGTTTTTTAACATTGGATGTGGTATCTCGCAAGCCTGCTTATTTCTAAATGATCTCTCAACGTGGCTCGTGCAGGAACTCTTTTGCGAGCTCTCTATACGTGATCAGGCGGCTCTTTAGCATGAAGTATATTTTTTTATTATTTGATCCGTCTTAATTATGATCGATCGTCTAGAATAAAGGTTCTTTTTTTTTTTTTTATAAAACTTCGATACTATTTTTGCGGACTTGATGTCATGTCTACCATAGAACATAATATATAGTTTTTAATGCTTCATTTTCGTTATAAAAAAAAAAAAAAACTAAATATGGTCGCAAATCGTTCACGTTAGAGTGCTTGCGAAACACAATAATCTAAAATTTGGCTTTTGAATAGCTAACAGGGAAGCAAAGTTTAGTTACGAATCAGACTTTAGCTTTTGCCAATACATTTTAAAGCCAATAATATGTGTGCCTATAAGAAATATATACATATGTTCATTAACCTAATCAGATCGGCTGTCGAGTAGATGTTGCTGATATTGAAACAGCGGTTTTAAGCTTTTTCAACCTCATATGTACAGGGTGAGACATTAAAGTTCTAGTAAACTCGGCCAGCTGTTCGTCGTAGCGGGCATCCATTCATCCGCTATTTTCGGTACCAAAAAGGCAACTTCCTTTTAGGACAAAACAATAAGCTCGTCATAGCGAAAACAATGCGTCGTATTTGAAATTTAAAGGAAAACCAGTTTTTCTCAAGCATTTCAAGTTCTTGGCAATTCTGAGTCCCACATTTTAGGATTTTGGGCCCGCTATCACCCTAAAATTTACAAAGTGTGTAGTATATTTGAGCCAAGTTTTAACGAGTCTACGCTTATGAATGTTTAATATTTATGCGCACTTAGTATTAAAAAGCTATTCGCGGACTGAAAAAATAATACTTTGAGCATTACTGGTTAATATTTTGGGTCCCAGATAGAAGCTGTAATACCTTTGAATGCTAGTCATATTGAAGAAACGTAATTATCAGGAATGACACTTATAGCATAGGCGAACTAAGTTATCTGGTCTTCGACATCTTCGAACAACTCAAAAGAAGGACTTGTTACATTTAGCAACTTAATAAAATGCCATATAAATTTTATTCGAGTTGTTGGCCAGTACATTGTAATAGTGGTTGTAATTCTACAATGTCGTATATATAAATTATGCTTAATCTATTATTGTTATATTACGTCATCAACAGGATGTGATACAGGTTTCGGACATCGGCTGGCTATGCGTCTTGCGATAAGAGAAGATTTTCAGGTGAGCTTCACTTAAAAGAAGCTTTCGAAGGAGGTAACAACGCACTGCTAGAAAAATACGGATCGTTTAGGTACCTTCTAACGGATTCTCTTAAGTAGAGTAAGATTTAGAAAGTTATACTACAAATGACCCAAAGAACAAGCTGCAAACCTTATACTTAATCCCCAGCCAATGAAACATAGTCGTACAAGCGTAAACGTTTAGTGCATATTGTTGTGAATGGTTAAAAATGTATTATTTCAAGCCAAAACAGGAGCGAATATTTTCTATATTTTAACACAGTATGAAAAAAACTAAATATGCCTACATTTGACCGATGGGCTTTTGTCATTTTTATAGGGCGAATCCATTAATATGTCTTAATCCGATTTCCCTCAATTTTCTCCGGGCACCTAAAGATGTGCGTTATTTGATATTGTCGTGCTAGATAATGAGTTATATAATAACTCATTATTATTATAATTGATAATGATATTGTGAGCTAGATAATAGTTTAGATTGATTTTTGGCTTGTTGCAATCTTTTTAGCTATTGAGTTATATACCACAGCAAAGCAGCTTTTCGCGCACGACTTTTTTGCAATCTTATCAAGCATCTAGCATCACCTTCCTCTCTATCGGTCCGGGATAGGCCACCAGCTAACGAGCATTATTTTTTGCGCATTTTCTTCAGCAGGACTGGCCTCATTGTTTACGGGCCTAGTACTACAGTGATAAAGCTGTTGAATATGACAAACATCTTACCTATCCTCAAGGCGATCTACCTTAAGTTTGACTAGAAGCACTCTCATAATTTGAAAACATCTACTACCGCCATCTACTATCTTAGTCTTTGACGTCAACGCCAACTCGACGCAACTTGTATTACCTGAGATACTTGAGACTGTAAAACGGTCTACTTAGAAAAAGCGTCGCTTCTATTTCCACAACTTAACATATTGATGCAAACTGTGCGAAATAAATAAAAGAAATAAAATTATCGAACAATTTACACAAGCTTGTTATTTCCAATTAATTATTGACCAACTCATGTAGATGACAAGTCCACGTATAGTAGCGGTAGCAGAAGCAGAATATATGACTGAATACGTGAAAAATTCCGTGTTTTTCCACAGATTTGCGATTAATTTTGTTTTCCCTAAGCGTTTGCTTTTTCGATCGATCCAGAACAGTATAGCCTCAGATCGGTATTAGCCCCTTGTACAAGTACTGGCACAACGTTTTGTTGCTATTGATTCGTTTCAGGTATTTGCAGGTTGTCTTCAGCCGGATTCCGATGGCGCACAGCGGCTGCGTTTGATAGTGACTGATGACAAACTTCATGTAATTCCGCTTGATGTCACCAACGCTGAACAAATACAAGATGCATTACGCTACGTCAAGGCCAACCTCAATGGAAATCGTTAGTGTTGTGTCGTTATAGTTAATTGATCCGATGGAGATCGATAGTATTTCGAAATGTCACTCTATCGGTTGATATGATTGGACAAACCTTAGGCTTACGGCACTCTCACTGAGACAGCTTCTTTTTGCCTTTAGAAGATTCCAAGCTAGCATTCCAAACATAAATTATCTTGGCCTCTTTATGATATTTATCGAAAATTTGTTTACATCGTTCGGATGAGTGAAAGATAAGTGATAATTAGGTCGATGCAGCATTTAAGTGATATGACGGAGCGGAAAAAAGGCAGCAGCATACTAAGATAGGACCGCAGAATTTTTAAGAACAGAAAATGACTTCATTACGGACACAAAATAATTTTCTTTCTCAGTCCCTCGCCAGCAATATTAATCCTGTTACTTCGTAAGTGATCATTTGCTGAAGGCTTGCTTTATGCTGCTTCAAATAATGGACTTTTTAATTTAATTTTTAATTGCCCAAACAGCTGAGCTTTCTCAATAGAGTTTCCAAGCGTCAATCAAGAAACGAAACAGTGCACCATTTAACACGATGACCTTCAAACGCGTCATTACCCTTAAGCATCTTCCTTACGAAATAATAGCGTAGCGCGGCAGTTAGGAGTTAACAAATATTACAAAGACACATTATTTCTTTCGCAGAACTCTGGTCGGTGATAGCAAATGCTGGCGTGAACATATTCCTAGAGTTTGAGTGGATCCCTATTAAAGACATTGAATTCCTGTTCGACGTCAACGTGATGGGAGTAGTTCGTGTATCTAAGACCTTTTTGCCTCTCCTAAGGTAAGCAACGCAGTAATCTGCTGAAAATTTTTTCTAATTAATTTCCATTACAGCCAGCTTGGCAGCTAAATAGCTCCCTAAAACTTTATCAATATGTGATCTTCCGTTAGACCTAATCATACGATCTGAGCCCTATTCACTTTTTTTCTGCCTTTCCATCTTCTATGCCGCAGAAATTCGCGAGGTCGTTTGGTGCTTGTCGCTAGTTATGCGGGCCGCATCGCGAGCAGTTCTATTGTACCCTACTCGATGACAAAAGCGGCCGTGATAGCCATGGCTGATGGGCTGCGCAGGGAAATGGCTAAATGGGGTCTTCATGTCGCCACCGTTGAACCATTCTACTATAGGTAAATTACAATTTCATTTGTAATTTAAATCCGTTTAAATTGATTTTTTAATCAATCATATAGTGTAAAGTGAGTTTTTTCTGACATACTCACGACCACAAAAACGGCCTGAATATGACTATAATGTTTACAAAGGATCATGTATAGGTTACAAAAGCTACATCTAATACGATACGGTCAATCATCAACAAAGATTTCATTAGTACATAGTGATTTGAAGAGAAATTTTATTATATGAAAAATCCGTTTCTGCCTGGATTCACCGATTCCGATGGTGAATCCAATTCATGTGAATCATGGATCTGATCTTCGGTACGTAATAAGGCTTAATTAGAATTTTTCGAACGAAAGGGCAGGTTCATTTGCATTTTATGTGTAACCTAAATAAAGCGTTCTAATTGTCGACTCGTTTTCCGGGCATACCGTTTCCGCCTCGATCGCAAGGAGCCTCTTAGCAGCATCCTCAATGGCATCAGTAGATAAAAATACAAAGTAGCGGAATAAGAGGATATTCCTAAGAACGAGGAATCGTTCTTAGGAATATCCTCTTCCACCTCACTGTGATGAGTCTGCCAGTTTATTGGTCACACCGTATATCAGCAACGGTCATACGATAAGCATTTCGGCTCTCATTTCCTACGTCTTCCAGAACTGCAATAAATTTTAACGAGTCGCAACAAGACATGATGAGTCGATTCAAAAGAGACGTTCCGCTGCAGATACAACAAGAATATGGCGACTATCCCGCTCAAGCTTTTCAGTGGATACTGTCCTGCCTCAGACGGGTTTCAAGGGCGAACGTTGATGAGGTTGTCGATCAAATGGTAAATGCTGTCACTGATCGGGAACCCAAGAGACATTATAGGTTAGTATTTGGACAAAGGTAATGTCCGCGACCTCAGAGAACCATAGGAGCTATTTCGACAGCAACCAAATGCGTCAATTTTGCCTCGTGTTGATATTACTGTTCTTTGCCCTTACCTCCTCTTATTTATATTCAAAGGTTAATAGCGCTTTTAGCCTTTGAATAAGCTACGTAAACAAGAGAAGATAATAATATATATATATATATATATATATATATATATAATACTGTGCAGGGACAATAACAACGTTTGAATAAAAGAGCAGAAACAACCATTGTTGAGTGAAGATTGGGGTAGATAAGGTTCAGCATTATGTCGTGCGCATTGTAGGAAGTTACATTGACATGTAAGATCTATTTGGATTCAATGTTGGCAACTTCAAAATCAACCTCAGTCGTTTTTCAAGAAGCAGGATATATGCCGTACGTTAGCTAGTTAACAACGAGGTTACTAGGACATGCATTGCAGCCGAACACTGAATTACCAGAACGGGGTTATAAGGAGTGCACGAAGATGACGGGGCCATTGATACAGAGTAAAAAATTGAAAATTAAGGAGATACGATTCTTGTAATTGAATAAGACCAACACGACAACTGAACTGATACAACAGGATCTCAAAAGATGACGCCAATAAAAGTACTGGTCTGCAATTAGGCAGTCGTTTGTCGGGCTGACATTTACATCAATGACGTATTAGAGTCTGCTGATACGGTAGTAGTAGTAAAACTGTTCAAAATATTCCTCATTATTCAAAATAAAACGTGTACGTGGAATAGGACAATTGAAATGGGATGAATGTTGCTAATGGGGGAAATGGAATTCCTGTATGAGGGTAGCCGCTATAGAATAATGCAACTGGTACCGCGGAATAGTAGCAACTGTTTGCGCAACGACGTAAACATGTCGAGTTATCGTTTTCTGCTCATATTAGAACAGGCAGATGTAGTAAACTTAAGATGGTAACAAGTTAGTGTGAACGGGATCGCAATGGGAGAAGTGCTAATGTATAAAATAGTTAACATTAGGCTGCGTGTGTAGCATCAACAAGCCATTTCAATCAACAGGTTCTTCTAGCGTACCACGAAAAGTCTGTGTCTCTCAGTGTCAGTCAAATAGAGGTGTCGAATTGGGTTTTGTTAGTGTGTGATTAAAAAATGGGCGGGTAGGTTTCATCCTAAGGTAAGCTGCATGTTAAATGAAACAAATTGAGTGGGTACTCTTTCTCAAAATTAATTTCTTTTTTGTATAGTTAATTTAGGAATGTTACAAAATTAGGAAAAAAATTTAGGAAAGAAAACAGTGGATTTTAAAAGGAATGTCTAAGTTTCCAGCTTTTTTATAATATGGCTGTAAAACAATTGTTATTCTTGTCAAAACGGTAGAAAGTAGACTCGCTACATGCCGTCGACGACCACGTTAAGTTATTATTATCTTATTAGGTGAACGACCGCTGTGGAAAAACTAAATGTGATTTCACTGTTTTTCTAGGTGTGATGGCTTTCTGAACTGGCTGCTTTCATCAGCATTATTCGTCTTGCCTTCGGTGGCTCAGGATATTGCCGTGTCCTTTTTTGAACCTAACTTCCGCGCGAATGAGAAAAGCGGACTCCTTTTGGAAATAGGCGCACCGTCTGTCACAAAAATTGATGATGGATAATATATTAAAATGATTGAAAAGAAAAATGTGGTGAAATGTGTATTTAACACAAAAAATTCTATTCCCGAATAAAATTTATCGGATGGTGTAAAGAGATTTTTAGTATCTATACTATTACTATCTACGGCTACGGGCTCAACCTAGCTGCAAGCTAGAAAAGACTGCTGCCACGGTGCTTACACACGGTGTCCTCACAGCGAAGGGAAATATAAATTTTATATAAAATGTGTTTTTTTGGCTTTAACACTGAAATTCTAATGTCACAATAGGATAGTGGAATCATGAACGGAATAATTTCTCCTCGGCTTCGCTGACGCATTTTTCTTTTTTGCCGAAATTTTCAATCATTGCTTGGCATGATTATCGCTGAATATGAACGATGCAGCGCCTACTTTTCTTCTTTACGGCTTGGTTTTTGGGGGCTTGTTGGCATAGGCTGCTGACCTCAAATACCCCACAAAAAGAAATCTAATCATGTTAAATCGTACGATCTAGGCAACCAATTCAAATGCCAGTAATGCCGTTATTTCATAGAATGTTTGAAGGAATCGTCGTCCTGGAAGCACATGGTTCTGAAGTCCATAATATCAGAGGCATAAAAAATTTATCGTGGCTCAACAGCGTTCACTGTTGACTGTTTGTTCATGTGTAGCAACGTTTCTGAATACGGCTAGTCTAGTTATGTCTTCAATGCCAAGTCTTCGTCACTCAATATGAGGCAGTTTTGCTAATCGCAGCTTCATCGCTGAACTGAAGGTCTGTCTGTGAATCCATTGTCGTGTCGAATAACTCATAAGACTGTTAATTTATATAGACTTCAGCTAGTATTAATGATATAAATATTATTATTACAGCTGCTAGTTAAAGCACTAGCAGCCTGCCGATCAGTCTTCGACAAATGGCCTACTGCTTCACATGTTGGTGGCAGCGATGGAGCCCGCGTTCAACTAAACCTGCGGAGGCTACCAGCCATCGTTAGAAACCGCAGGTTAAATCCCCGCGGGAGGCAGGCCAATTGAGGGGAAGATCACTGCAGAAGACCAGCTCTCGAAGCGGCTGAGAGTACCGGAAGTGGCATGAAATTATTTTCTATGTAGTCGCCAGTCGTACCCGCGTAGCTGAAAAAGGTATGAAGGAAGGACCCGTATCGAAAGAAAGAGGCGTGACCGACAAGGAAGACCAGACGTGTGCCGTATCTCCGACGAAAAGCAAGTAGCCATATTACTGCACGGTCGCCAGATCTGGACCGTAAACGCTAAACGGAGAGAAAGCATCGGGTATAAAGGTATTACAACAATCGACGAAAGTGCGAAGCCGCCAGGATCGTTCGAGCACTATGGCGGTGGCTAGACAGGAGATGGCGTTTTAAAACACAGTATCATTGATCATTCCGAAGAGCGCAGCCTCACGGAAGACACGCGAAGGGCAAGAACCCCGCACGGACGAAGGCACTCTTACGCTTGATAAGAAACGAACGACATTATTTTTAATTAATAAAATATCGAAGTCCTAAGTTAAAGGAGGTCGTTTAGTACACTTACTATCACCACTGATTATTATTGCTAAAAAAATTCTGAATAATTTAAATACATCATAAAATTAATTTAATTGTCATAAATAAAAGTGGTAACCCAAGTAGGTACAGGCTAGCCAACCGCTTCGTTGCTGAGAGAATCCTGCATAGAGATGACGGTCTATTGTTAAAGATTTAAATAAGAGAAAGATTTAGTAGGTAATCCACGGGGTAAAAAATTATAATAGCACGTCGTTCTTCACAATCAAAGGGCCCAGAAGCATATTAGTTTTCGGTTTAACATGTGGCTTCATCTATGTAATGCTTCAAACTACGTCGTCTAGCATGCAATGTACTATACAAAAAAAAAATATAAACTCTCGTTCTCTTCATGGAATTGCAGTTCTTACAGGGTTCACGGTCCTGCGAAAATTTATTTTTAAAAAAAGCATCATATGACATCTTGAAGCACATCTTTTATTATAATTATAGTAATACAATTAAGCCTTGTTTATTTTTTACCAAGGGGTATACGTAAAAACGTGGAAGATTTTTTAGCTTATAAGAATTTAAGTTTTCTTTTTTATCAGATGTGATAGTAGTGTCGGTACGAACAATGTTGCCGATATGTTTGAGAAATGCTGATTATTTTGTTTTTTTTTTCAAACTCTACAAGATAGCCAAATAAATTAATCGGGATGTTGGAAAACGGATTAGTTAGAACGATGCAACTGCAACGGCCTATCGAGATTAGATCAACGTTTCTGTTGGAAAACATGAATAAGCGTAGAAGAGACTTGCCGAAAATGGCTCATAGAATCACTCTACTAACATAGCGAGACTGCTGACAAAGTCATCGGGGACATTTGAGTACGGGTTAAGAGATAACAAACTGACCGAATAACATTTTAGGTTGGGCCTAACACAGATCATTATATTAGAATATGCTGATACGTTCCAATAGAACGCATGTTAATAACAAATCGATGAAATTCGAGTTACTGTTACAAAATAACTACATCGAAATTACGATACTGCCGCTAAAGGAGTTCGAGAAAATTCTGACCGGATGATTGATCCTCCGGCGAACTCTAAACCAACTATTCCTACTTTCATTAGGTAACAATCCAACTATGGTTTATATTAGTCTAGATCTAACGCGGACCGGATTCATTCACATATAAATAGGTAACGAAATAACTTGAAACGCGTTTAAGCGGCCAGGAAAACTTAATTTAGGATAGATTATGAAATTGTTCAATTAATTAAACAAACGACAAAACAGACACGGGGCGAAGCCCCTAAAGGCAGTCTAGTGTATCCATCTGCTCGTTAGAACTGGTTCGTGTATGTTCAATTAGGCAGATTTTTTTTCTGGATTACTATATAATTTCATTCTAGAAACTTCTGTGTAGAAAATCAACACTATTTTATATATAAAATAATCAAAATAGCCCGTTCGCAGATCATTTCGACATCATGTCAATCGTGTCGCTACCTGCATACGTTCCACTGTACTACATTAGATAGCAATGGCTGTAATCGTAAGCTATGCTTAGGTCCGAGCAAAAAACCGCACTGCGATAAAGCGCGCACCATGGCTGAGTGTTGAGGGTAAAAAGCAGACAAATAGTTTTAGTTATACAGGAGATATCTAAAGGGATATTATAATAATACATAAACAGTAGCCGTCATTTAATCAAACCACAACGTGTACTCCAATTCTAGTAACGATTTTACTAATTATGTATTCACCATTTTATCTACGATCTTGTCCGGTATCTCAGGTTTTTCCTCGCCAGGAATTCTCAGATCTGGTGCTAAGGAACTGCTCCAGTTAGCCCGTTGGATTATCTCCATGGGCAAGTATCGGTTACTGATTCAATTTGCCCATTACTGTTCGCCCTATGCCGGGTCAACTGTTGAAGGTCAAGGAAAAGCCCTATCTCCTCAAGGATTTCACCCAGTCTATGGCACACGCAAGCGCTAGATTTTTGCCAAACGTCTATACGTACAAAATGCATCTTCAAGGTGAACAGTAGCTGATGTATAATGAACGCGTCGTTTTACGGCAGGTATTTAGCTGGTATTTGGTTTGCCTAGAAAACCCTGGACCCCTTGAGATTTGGTTCGTACGTGATTTAAGCTTGCAGAGATAGCTAGTAGATTAACTAGTTACTTGTGTTGCCCTTATTGTCTCCAATACTTTCTTCTTAACCATTGTGTTCCTTTTCAGTTCCTATTGTGCAGCAGAACTACAAATATGCCGACTGAAGTCTCGGAGACCAGCTCCGATGAATTCAATAGGGCGTCAGTTGCAATGTAAGCTAATCCACCAGTGTGCACCAACATACGCTTATCAGCGAAAGTGCCTTCTCTTTCCTAAGCAGGTGACTGTCGAAGATCTTATGTCCCGCCTTGAACCGGGCCATGTTGTATGTCAGTTCTGCTCTGAGCCTGTTGATCCGCGATTATTGGGGTTACGTCTTTGACCGCAGTTTCCAGCCTTCCCCACGGAACTGCGTCTTACTCCGTTTACTAAGCCTCGATGCTTGCACATCTCAGCTTGTTTAGACGAGTAATCTTTCCGTAGCGTTCGCCGTTTATCAACCTGGGGGCTCCAAGGAATAATTTTCATCAGAACGAAGCCGCAGAAATATTCACAGTCCTGCACACTTTTATTCAGGATTTCTGACAACAGTCTGGTATTTGTAGCTTATTTTAACAGCCAACTAATGAGTTGTCCGCCATCCGAGATTCTCACCGATTGCAAATGGCCCGCCGGAGCGAGATACACCTTTCAGGTCGAAGATTCTATTTTTCAGTTAGTAAACTCCTTCAAACAGTTCTTTCAGTTGCAGGGTTTCCGCTGTACACGGCATATATAGCCCAGCTTGCTTAGGTGGCTTTTGATTGCGGCGAAAGGCCAAATAGAGTAAATGTCAAAAAGAATTTTTTTTACCAACGTAAAAATCTATCCACTGCAGAATGAAAATACAACGATGTTTAAAAGGAAAGGAATGATGCATAACAGTAAACAACATTGGAGAGTTAAATTGATGGCAGCGCCGGGGCACGCCACATGCAACTTACTACTATTGTCCATGATGTCGACATTTCGTACGATTGATGGTTTCCGATTCAATATCAGCATATAGTCTTGCGACGGTGTCGGTTTATTTTAAATGTTAATATATGATAACATGTAACGATGCGGAATCGCAGATTTTTCGAAGAGTCTGTAAGGCAAGGTGTGTTTGTCCTTGTTAACTTTGACACGGCAGGAGCAATTCGCTAAATAAAAACGGTAACGTATACTTAGTTTATCATCTGTTCCACCTAAAAGCTGGAATCCTCTATATCAAAACGGCTTTTTGGACAGTACGGAAGCAGCAGAAACATTTTTTAAATTACAGACTATAGACCATTGTGATAAGTACGCGTCATTTGCACCGTTTATCTTTCATATAAACCTCGATTACAATGCTTTTCTGAAATCAGTGAATACACCACTTACCTAAATACGGATTTAAGCGACTCAGACTATCAATGTAAGACTACCGATGAAGAAGCTCTTCGAATTTCGTTTTAACAAAATATGTACTCAAACCTAAAATGAATCGGACTAGACAATAAATATTACTCTAGCTATCCGGAAGGCGAAGCACGTAAGGCAAAATTAAAATATCTTACGATTATCCAATAACTAATAACGACACCTGTACCTTTTCACCACGATGATTAGCACCAACATTCAAGCTGAATCATTGATTATGCAGGCCACACGCAATGTTTCAAGTGGGTGGCACTGCTTGTTGGCAGAAACTCTAGTGACAATAGTTTAGCTACCGACTGCCTCTTTTTAAATCCTCATTGAATATTTCTGTGATCAACAATGACGAGATTATTATTAATGTTGCCTGCTCTTTCGCAGCCACTTAACGTTGCTGTTGCTAGAGGCGCTGTTGCCTCCCCTGCTTCGTTGGCCTTTCACATTCGACACTCTCGTCCCTTTCCGACGTCACCGTATGCTCGACCTGTTGTTTACGGCTAAAAGAACCGATGCATACACTAAAATGAGGCAGCTGTAGTTCAACCAGACCGATACTCCTACGACCAGTGGTAACTGCGATAGTGAACTTCTTCAGTTCTATTGCAACAGTTGACAAGATACAAAAATGAAGCTCGCCGTTCACTGTTGTAAGTACTTCTATTCAAACATTATTATATGCTAACGTGTCTTATAATGCACTCACTTTCGTTGATGCTGACCAGGGCAGACACTCATTCTGAGCAAAACTTAGCCACGTTACCTAGTACGTATGTACTTTTAAGCATCTGATCTCACGACTGTTAATTAGCAGCGTAAATTTAAAAAATACGAGCTTTCAGATTAGAAATATTTAGCAAATTACGTCAGTAGGGAAAAACGTAACTTATTCCTCTGTGTGCCAGCAGCTAAAAAATTTGGAACGCGTGTGTTGTATACCTCCCCGATCAAACAGCATCAAACAGCTAATGCCTGCTTGCAAGTAAACATGTTACTGCGTCATCACCAAGGGACGTTCGGCACCAAAAGTAGACACACACTGCATATCGTATTTTATGGCGTTAGATAAATACACCCAATAATACTCTAGTAAAATCATAGAAGTAATGTTATCACAATATATTGTCACTAATTTCCCCTGTCTGTGGCTCTCGGAAATTTAGTGACTGTCGCTGTTGCTTTTGTACTGACTGTGGACTCAGCGTCCCGATTCAGTGATGAGCGTTGCTATGATACAAAAGCAGTTTGCGCTTTGGAAGAGCTAAGGAAGTTGTGCTCTTACACTCGCTGGCATTGTCGGGATCTCGGTTTTGAAGTTAAGACTGGTAAGTAAAATCTAGACTAAATCTATTAGGCAAAATGTACCTAAATATAGGATCGTGTCATCAACTATAGAAGAGCAAGCGGTGCACTTAAATCTTGCGGTTCGTTGACTTGAATCTAAGGCTTGCTCTTCCCGCTATTAGTTGGATATTTAATTACTTCTTGCATACGTTGTTATGACTATGTTAGATAAACATGAAGGTGGTGCATGTACCTTACCATATTTCTACCAAGCTGTCCTTCCAAGTGGCATTTGCACAGAACGAATCCGAAAACGTCGATAAATCCTCAGTGTAAGAAAGCAACACTTTGCTGAACTGACGAAATCTCGTGATTACCTATCTGGTCTATTTCATCTTCCAACATATACTTCCGCCAATAGAAGGGTGTTCAGAATGCTAGTAATTATTCGTGAATTGTGAGAGTGATGATAATTGGTTCATTGGAGGAGCTTACCTCTTATGTGATGATGTCGCCATGCTTTTTAATCATCCAGTTTTATCTACTTGTCCGAATTAGGTCTTCGTGAGTTTAGGCCAATGAAGGCTCTGTTTTCAGCTGAGCGATAGACTGATACTTTAATTGCAAACTCTTTGGAGCTTCTGTTTGCAGCAATATCATGACTTAATTCAAATTTGATACCACTTGACAGTGGCCAGCTCGAGTTCGATTTTTATCGTTAGAGCTAGATCGATCCAACTGTTGATTATTTATATATGATCTAGCATTAAAATTATTTTAAGATTCAAAGGTGATACTAGACACTTGAGTGTGAATTACCTGCGCTCCCTTTAAATTATTCATGCGTGATCGAACTCCAGATTTTTATCTACATGTAAGCATATTTTTATTGCTTTATTGCTTCAAAAAATGGGACATAGTTTCTCAGCCTTATAGAACTGTGACTCGAGCTCACACGTACATATCGTTTCGCACTGAAAGAGGTGTAGCTTCGTGTTTCCGCGTCGTCAATCGTGTTAACACAATTCTAAAAGCGCACATGATTGTTTTGTTTGATTTAATTACAATGATCCGTAAAGACCACGGTTTTAGTAATATTCTTCAATTATCTTCTACGAAATAAAATGTTTTTTTTTTTTTTATAATATATAGAAAAGTGCAGAAAATGTCAAGATGCATAATTCTATCATTGTGTCACACCAGGTGTAACACGTGTCGTAATACTACTTACGGTTAATTCTAACCCAACTACGATCCTGTGCACTGTACTTTGTTCATATTTTTCAGATAACATGTACCCTCACATCACCGGCGACTGTGATAAGAGGGGCCCTACTGATTTCTGTCGGACTGCAGAGAAAGCCAAGGAGTGCAAAGCTGACAAGGAATTCTGCAACGAAATAGGCTATTGGCTTTTCTAGGTAAAAACAAAGTTTACATTTTATAACGACAATAAATTTGTGCTTTGATATCTCCTACATCAACAATAGTTGATACTTCCGACAACAATGCTACTTTAGTGCTATATACACGCAGCCATAAACCTAGTGCTGGTATAACGAGTCCAGACCGTTTATACAAGTGGTACCTCGCAACCCCAAAATCATAAAAACACGGTCTTTAGGAGTTAAGGTTCCGCTTCAATGCTAAACCAACATACAGCCATATCGCTTCATCTATGAAGGTATCTTACTCGAGAAGACTACGTTTATGCTGTATATGAGGCGAAGCTACATACTAGATTAGCTATCCAATCTGGAAAAATGGAAACACAGCTCCAGCGAATTTTAAGATGTTTTTTTAAGAGAAAATAGTTAACTTAACAAGTTATCGGAAGGCACCTTTTTTAGGATATTTCTGTGCATCTTTTTCAAACGACTATAGCAAAAGAAACACTTTGTACCTAAAGCAACATAGACTAAGTTGTTTTTTAAAAACATAGCGCCTTATCTCACTTACGTATTTACGTACCTGTGAAGATTCATCATATGAAGGATAAAGGAAAGTCATCATGGATGATGAATATTATTATTCAGCGATACGTCAGTTATTGCAGGCATTGATCCACGATAGTATCATAGTTTAAAACCTTTTGTTGAGATCTTTCACGAGTCTGCCATCTGCTGGCGCGTATTCTGGCCATTGCTATTATTCCCGACCTATTTGATTGAGACCGCTGAATGAGAGAAAGGACGGTTATTTGATAACTTGAGTTTAAGTTAGGACTATTTATTACGTATGTAGTTGTACTTCAGCAATTTCTGACAGAAATGTATAAGATTATTAAAGCTATGGAAAGTGTTAACAAGAAACGCTGATCAGCCCGAATCGTAACGTGTGTGTAGATAATCGTGCTTTCAAGGCTAAAGGCTAAGTTACCCCTTTGCATTTTGCGTTGTGCATGTACATTCAACCACTATCAAAACCACTCATATGTAGAAAGTACGTCATTTGAGTATGATGTGTTGGCTTCAAGAGAGGGTCTCAGCGTTTTTTGACAGCACTTTCTAGAACTAATCCATTATTGACCGCAATCCTTACACATAGTGTACAAAACTGTGCGCAAATAATTGATTAGAAGGGTTCCAGAAAAATACTGATGTAATACTAAAAAAAGCTCATGATTCTAACGGGCAGCTATATAAGTATCGGTAACTAAAATTACACTGCTAACCTAACCGTATATCACATGAAAGGCGTTTACCGGAAAATAAATATTGGCAATATTTGTTGGCTGTAAATCTCGTCTATTTTGTCAAGCGTCGTATTCCGAAGCTAGCAGTTGGTCAAATAACACCATTGAAAATTATCTAACTCACTGCTTTGACTGGCAGATCTATGCTCGTGTATCGCCTCTCGGAGGCTTCATAAAACAAGAGCTTCATCCTCTCAATTTAAAAAAGATCTTGTTTACGTTTCTTGTGGAATCTTCTCAAAACAAGGGGTGTTTCGCAGGCTATTGCGATTCTTTGAAAATGCAAAAATGTCCTGGCCAGGTAAAGAAGGTACGGCTAAAGGTCTACTAAACCCACCGCACGACGACTTATTGTAAAATCGAATAAACGTGTTTATCAGTCCCTTTATAAATACCATGTACTCATATTTCTAGCGCTCACTAGTTGGTGCAGTACAAAAGCTACAGTTTGCCATGACAAAATGATGGCTTGTAATAGTACCGAAGTTTTCTTGTTCAACCAAGCGGTCGATATTTGTTCTAATTATATTTTTGTCTTTTACACGCTGCTTGCTGTGAATATGGTGCCACGCAATCAGAGAACAGCTGCTTGGGTGTCCCTAGTATCTACTATTCCCGTCTACATAGCGCCTACTGTTGAGCATCATATTAGTTATCAGTTAGTAAGCTCAAAGATCTCAGCCATTTCATGTTCGGTCTTAGTTTAGGACAGGCAGCACAGGCAATCTGAGGACTTTTTCACAAAAAAGCCCCAAGCCAGCTTTACGATGTGACCACTTAATTAAATTAAGCTGAAATTTTCCAAACTGAGCCTACGAATGCAATTTAAGCCTACTAGTACTTCTAGCACAAAAAACTCCAACATTTATTCTTTACAAAAGTCGATTTTCTCAGTTTTTTAGCCTAAATGGATTGACATTCTCTGGCACGGGAAGCCTCATATATCTCATGAAATATCACACTACGTAAAACCCGTCTTATACATCCGCAGGCGCTTCCCTGGCAAGTGATCTTGTTCAATAATTTTAGCGGTCTGGCATTCTCTTCGACAACTTTCTAAAATTTCTACCCCCTATAACGTTACCATGGATGTTTTATAGTGCAATAGATCGCTATTCGCCCAGCCAGATGCTTTAAAAACTCCGTAAAGGTAACTTTCTTGACAATTTCGTTGAAATTAAAAGAAATAATTTACGTAGTGATATGTCCATAAGTGCTTCGGAACCAACTACTCTTGACACTATGAGTAGCTGCACTCATGACGGGCGGCAAGATCAGCCCCGAAGAGTTTACCCTTTGTCGTTATATTGTAGTCACTTCACAGGCTCCATCGATAAAAAAGGCTTCGCATCATATGCATATATTTGTAATTTAGTATCGCCATACTCTGTTGTTCTATTGGTGGAAGTTAGGTTCACACGGTCAGTGATATGCCATAGTTAGAGACCAATATAGCACTGTATTTCAAGTAACTACATATAGAAGCATGGTGCATCCGAGGAACGGTTCGATCAATACTGCACATCCGTGAATACGATATTTCAATTACAATATTCAACATCCCAAAGAATGTCTTTCATCATTAATAGATAACACTTTTACAGCTTCAGGTCGCTCTTCTGGAAGTTTAGATCAACCCCATTGTTAGATTGTATTGAGGTGCATTCTCTTACCAAGAGATGCGTGAGACATCAAGTTATTGCTGAACTTATATGTTCAGAAATTTCTGAGCCGAATCCTGCCATCCTATACTCTATTAAGCGTCGTATCCGCTTTGCAAAATATAAATAATTAGCCTTATTTGTAAGGTCCACTACAGTCCATAAATTCGCTGCTTGCCAGTTCAGTCAATCGTAATTAATTGTGAATAATGAAAAGACATGACTTACCTAATATAAAATATATAAAAATAGAAATATATCGAAAAAATATATATCTTATTAATCGTTGCGAAAGAATTCCCTTATAGCCCATCACAGATTATCACTAGATAAAGCGATTTGAAGGGATAAGTAAAGTTCCCAGGTGAAGACGTTTACAATGGTGATACTATGACTTTCGTCCTTCAGTGAAAAAATTTAAACATCAATACGAAAATACGTAGTATGAGAAGCACAGTAAAACCGTTTAATGTAAGAAATTTCAGAAGAGGGAAGTTCAGTTCATGTTTAATGGACCAGGAACGTGATTTTTGGGCTTTTTCGCCCTGTAACTGGCCCTCTCTAAAGTTATTTTTAGAAACTCACTTGAATACGTAACACGGGTTTGAAATAAGCAAGATGGAGAAAGCCAGTACAAATAAGTCCCCGTGATAGTTCTGTGGTGATGTGTTTGCTTACGGATTTTAAGAAAATCTCTGAAATGTAGGTTCTAGCCAGGGAGTAAACAACTCATTTCGAGCTTTAATCGTTATTTATTTAAAACTCAATGCACACAAATAAAGTAAAAAATGTCCTCAGAATAAAGTCACCTTCAGATTATACAACTAACGGTTTATAAAGTTCAATGTAGTTTATTGGGATTCAAAAGGACATTGGATTATTATTCTAGTAGATATCTAGTAAGCTTTATTGTGTATTATAAAATGAAAATAAAAGTTATAATATAAAAATTCCTTTTTTCTTTTTTGTCTTTCATCTTGACCAAGGTCTCACTCTATAGCACCTTTGGCACGCTAGCAGAACACCATTTTTGTGCGCTTTTCAAAAGACAAACTAAATCCCTTATTGTTACATGGCATTATGTGATTCTGGTAATGACGCACGACTCGTTACGAATTCGAAACCCCTATCAGAAAAAATAATGCGCAACGAAATCACTGTTCTCATGATTGTGTAGCCATTTGACTCACTAACGTAGTTTATTTCATGTTTACTAATTTCCGGCCTCAATTTACAGATGCAATAAACATGTGAGAATAACTCTTCGCGGAAGCTGAACGCTTCATGAATATCGCTTCCAAATAGAATTTTGCTTACTCAACAGGCGTTAATCTATTCAGTCTCTTTGTTAAAGTGCACATAAATGCAATGTATAGATTGAAACTAAACTTAGCATTAGGAAAGTATATGAGAGCCTCAGTCCCCACTACAACTACCCATTTTGCTAATGATATTATTACTATTAATATTACAGAGTGTTTGCCAAGGTAATATAACAGATCATTTTGCTATGTCCGAAACATCTTCATGCTCCCAGCTAAACTAAACAGCCTCAAATCAACTTCCTGAATACATATCATACACATTTCTCCATATTTTAACATTCTAGCATATTCTGTACATATATTACAATTGTTCGTATTTGCTTGTTGGTTTGTTATGGTGCGTTACCATCTGTGTACGCTGCCATGGAGTAGCACTGGACTAACAGTCACTCTGATTAGAAAGTAATCTCCATTTATAATTATTGCTTCCATTTCGTAATTGTTGGCCTATTGATGCTCACTCTTCTATATCGTCAGAAAGCTCTTCCAGTAGCGTTCAAACCTGTTTATTCATCCTTATCACAAAATTTTTCATTGAATTCGGGTGACTTATACGGACCCATTTTCCCTCATGCGACAATTTCTATATTTCATAATGTAAAAACACTATCTGAAGTAAAAAAAATGGGAGAGTAAACGAAGATAAATCGGACCCGATTAAAAGGTAAAATGCGAGATCAAAAAATGACACATTTTTTACGAAAAATAACAAAGTTCTTTGGGAAAAATAAAACATTTTAAATGTGGCCAGAAGACAACGAACATAAAATAATAAACAATGACATAACAACGACAAACATAAGAAATACATGTCATATCGTTCTCTTTTATTTTTCTTTTTTCTCAATGAATATCACTAATTTAGCAGAAATCGGCTTTTAGTCCGTTTTTCTCCATACTTTTTTTATCTTTTAATCGGCTTTAGTTTGTTCTCTTTAAGACATGTTTTTTTTTTAAACTTAAGTATGGTTTTTATTTTATGAAATATTGAAATTGTTACACTTTGAAAAGGGGTGCATCTGCAAAGCCCGAACCCCATGTAAAATTCATCTATGATATGGACAAAATGCCGGCAGTAAAACTTTCTAAGGATAACAAAAAAAATTACAGAACAGAAGCGAAAAATAAAACCGGATATTACTTTCTGAACAATCTAATATGATGGCAATCAGCGTGCAACCCGTCCTTACAGATATCGCACGTATGATCACATACATCATTATCATCGTCGCTAGCGGAATCACTTAAGCCTTTATTCTCACTAAACTCGTACAGAGTACCCTTATCAAATGGAGGAGGAGGCGGAGGGGAGAAGAGGGTGCTTCATTTGTCTCACTGTTGCAAAATCAGCTAGAAAAATTTTGAGTTTGATTTTAATTTTTCCAAATTCTACATGTTGTATGAATACTTAAATGTTTACCACTAGCGGCCGTTTAATTATGGTAAAGCTGTACGGCCTAAAAAAACAGCGCCTTGAAAGGTGTTTTTCCGCGTAATGCACGGCGACACTTAGGACAAGACTTGGCCGTTTTTAAAGTCTCTTCTATACATTTTCTGCAGAATACGTGCGAACACGCTGATATGACAACAGCGCTAACATTCTGCGTCTGCAACTGAAGGATAGAAAAAATGAACAAAAACACATTTATGATGAAGTATTGTCTATAAGGTCAATTTTACGCAAATGTTCACCGTAACCTATTAGAGTACTAACATGCTGGTACATAAACGGGTAAAATCATAATAATCGTACAAAATAGAATTCCGCATTTTCACCGCTAATTCGTTTCGACATTGTACGTCAATGATGACCTAGCAGTTTTCAAAGGTTAATACCGTAAATAGGGAAAATAAGTGAATGATTAATTGCATATATGCGGAATGTAATAACGAAATGTCAAAAGGCAAGTCGGAAACGCACACCAAATATATTCATATTTCTAAAAGAAATATTGTGACAGTATACACACTTAATGAAACAAAGGCATAGAAAAGATATTGCAGTACTCCACTTAATAGATGCATTCATAAAACAAGCTACTAGATGAGGTTTGCCCTCTTAGCCAACCAAACAAAAACCACTTCAATCTTCTACAATAACAGAAAAACGCTAACGCAGCAGCTGGGGTGGCGTGCAGAAGCTGGCCTACAAGGTAGAACATAAGAAGAGAGAGTAGTTGTACTAGAACGCCCGCAAGCTGGATGACATACAAATACAAGGGAGCAAATTTTTTGCACCGTTTATAAGCGGTAATTTCCTAAGTGTCAATGCGGCAGCGAAGACCTTTACACTTAACAGAAACTCACCTTAGCATATGTCTCTAAGCAGATAGGACAAAATAATGAGGCCGTTTCGTCTTCTTTGCTTTGAGAACTTTTCTGTTTTTTTGACGGAATCTGCACGTTCGCTAAATCGTCATCGTCAGTTACTACCTCAACCTCACGACTTTGGGCTGAAAAATAAGCCAAAGGTTCTTTTAGATTTAGTGAAATAAATCCAAAGCTACAGTAACCCATACAGGTGTCACCAATAATCATTATATCATATGTATAACGATGATCATATGCCCCAATCGATTTATAATAGAAATAGGGAAATGCCACGTTCTGCATGAGTTTTGCACTTTACCTAAGACTATTGCATACAAAGAAAGCAAAGAATATGGCTGATACGAAAAGAAAAACAGGTACATTGCTAACTGTTTTTTAAAATAACCTTAGCGAATATCTTTTGGAGCCCGAATTGTTCCAGATTTTAAACTTGTTAAGTTTAAGACAAATGGTATATGACCAGCCCCATTGTCATAGTGAAATAGTGATTACTTTACGGTAGAAACTGAGATGTTGCATCTACCATGTTTCGCCAGGTCTACCGAGAAGCGCATTACGTGCTGTTGTCTGCCCATCCGTGTCGGAGGCTGTGGCGTCGTCCGCCGACACTCATAGAGAACCTCAACATCAGAGCCCGCAGCGATGCCGTTTGATGCCGATGAGGATGAAGTACTGGCAACTGACTCCATGTGGGGCTGTGGCGGACTCTGCTATATAAAATAGAAAATATTCGCATCATGCACTAGACCTCGTAAGAACTCAGGTTTTGAACGTAGTCGTTTTAGCAATATATATTGATCCTCATATAACTTTGATCCGCGGACAATCTGTTTCGAATCCCTGAGGGGCGTATTGTACCTAAAATAGTCTCTGTAGAAATACAGTAATAAAGATTTGTAAAAAAAATTCGTTATTTCCTGTTCTCACTTGATTTTATAATTTTTTCCACTAAGGTCCATTCTTTCAATCAGCATTTAGCTTGCTAAGACAGCAAACTGCCATTAAGATCATTCGGCCAATTATTGCGGACTCGTAATGGCATAGGGAGAACTGAGTTTCAAGACTCCACAGTAATAAATTTCACAACGATTAACTGAACAAATCTGTCTATATAGTATAGTATATGTAAAATTAGTCCAACTACATCACAGGCGATGTTGCTAATTCAGAAATATTTTTTAATAAAGGATTTTTAGCTCGACAATAAACCCGCGGTGTCAGATGGTTTCAGTGAAGCTGGAACATTTTAAGCATAAACACTATCAGAGGATGAAATTTTGTTTACCGGTATTTTCGCAAAGAGATTAAATGAAATTTTGGTTGGTATGTCGGGTCAGTACGTCACCGTATAAAAACATAACGATAGATTATGTACTAAACTATTAACATATAGCTCTGATTCATATTATTTCAATTAGCGTTGGTGCATAAATAGGTCGTAATACGTTTCAGCGCCTCGCCTCAAATTCATGCGATCAGTTTGGTTGGATTCAAAGTCTTTCCCGATGAGTATTTTAGAAAAATTAATGCTATGACAAAGTCTGCTCTGTTAAGTACTTTCTGAAGAAATCTATACAATGCGAAATATATCCTCTTAGGAATTATGCACTGTGAATTAATTTTTAAGTCGATTCAAGGATACGTTTATTAAGCAATGAGATGCTATTAACATTAAAACAACCCAGGCAGTAAAAATGACAGGTCATTGACCATAACATAAGCGATTTGTTGTTTCTCGGTCCTGGAAATATTCAGTCTCTTTCCGTTATCGACGCCAGCTTTATCAGATACTTTCCGATTCACCAGAGAAGCGCAACGCGTCTCTGCTAATGATGCCACTGATCTTAAATCTGCACAGGAGATCGGTTATTACCTATATAAATGGCCTATCTAAATAAGATATTCGTGCTACTATAAAATAACGCATACTGTTATAGTCACTGCAGTCAGATCGATGTAAGTGCCCCCACGTAATTCATTCGATCGATGTAACGGCTTCCTTCTGCTCGCGGTAGTGGTACGAGTAGAAGTCGAAGTAGGGACTGCACTACCACCATCATTCGTAAGATCGACTACTTCAGGCGTCGCTGGCCGTTGATTCGTTGTTGGATGTTCGGACATTTTCTGCTCTCGGTGGACAAAAAAACTCGTGCTTACAACACCTCACACCTAAACTCAGAGTCATCAACCGAACACAATCAGTTCTTCCGCGTCCACAAATTCGATACGCATTGTAAAATAGAGCTATAGTGCGACCTCGCGTTACCGATCAAAAATTATTCTGACTACATTATTACACCGGTAAATACCATACTCCTAAGATAGCTGAAACCGCGATCAGCTGGTGCTGTTGGTGCTCTTTTCCAATTGCTCGTGTATGTTTACATACTATATTTCAATAATATACTTGATGTGAGTCCACTGTTGGAAGTTGTCACTGAAGACTGAGGGTTGGACACGGTTTAGAACCTGTAAAAAATTCTTTTGACGGAGACTCATATCCGAAAAAAATTGAATCATGCTTGACACTTGCTTATTTTGTTTACTCGTATTTACCGTAGTACTTGTTGCAAAACTTCAATGGTAGAAATGGTGCGTACTATTGACGGATCAATTATACTGATTAAACCTCAACATCACTTGCTCGATTTTGACTTACTCAAAAATTGAATCAAGCTACATTTCGTCTTAAGTCGGAGTCTATCATATTCTGTTTTTCACAACCATTGTAGAGCAACTTAAGTTTTATGAAATTGGGTAATGTGATATATTCTAATCTATTAACTGCGATACGAACAACTTGAACTAGCAGTAACAATACTTCACAAAGTCATTGCATGGGCATACAGGAAAATACCTAACCTAAACAAATACTTTGGTTTCATAACAAAAGCTCTGAAAGTTTGCTTAACACTGAAAAAAGTAAGTATCCAAATGAAATAAAATATACTAAGCGTTTTAAGGCGCACCAGATAGTTCACTACACTATTATCCTTTCCAAAGAAAACTTTAGCACGTTTTGCGCACCATTAGCGAAATCAAGTTTACAAAGAGCCTCGACTTTAAGGACAGTGACAACAGCGACCCAACCGGTTATTCAAGATCTGAAAACACGGCCTGTGGAAAGCACAAAAGCGTTGATGACAACACTACGATACGGCTGGATACTGAAAGGAGCAGATATTCACAAACGGAAAATATAAAGAGAGGGAGAGCGAGAGATAAAGGAATCGGCTGGCGTCGATGAGCTTGGCGGCATCGAATACCAATACTTGTGGAAACCAAAGCTAAACGCCGACTCTGAAATTCTGATTTTTCAACAAGTCGCAAAACAAGTACAAGAATTTAGAAACCAAATACTCTATGGTGGGGAGAATACAGCATGGGGAGGCTGTAATCGACATTCCGCTGAAATTGTAATTAAACCAGGCGCTAAGCAGTAATCATGCTTCTACCTATCAACGGTTTCTATTTGTTTACAGTTCACAATGTGTGCTAATGCGTGCCCTTTATAACTCGTGCCATGCTATAACTTTTAACCTTGACAAAAAAAAGCGCACCTTTTTGTTCTCATTTAAAACTTCCATCTTTGAAGCCCTAGTTCAATAAAAAATTCTGCTCAGAGCATAATGAAACTACAATAGAAAATATTTTCGAACGGTATATAAAACTAAGCAATTCATGAAAATATAACAAAGCAAAGGAGCCATTACTGAAGTTTCAATCTAATACGTACTGTTAGAAAATAACTGTTAAGCGCCAACGTAACATAAATCGGCACTGACCTAGTTTTTCGAACTCCTAGAGAGCACCCCAATAACCCCTGGTTTCGATTATACTCGCGGTGACCCTAGAGGCGCTTGTGTAGTACAGAATTGAATCCGCGAGTATTGCAAATGATCTTTTGTACGTGCCGCTTATTTTCATTGGCAAGCCCCACTGTGAGTGAATCTGGACCACTTTTAGTCTCTAACGCTTTGCGTGATTTCGTATTTTCGAGATAACTCAAGAAATCTGAGGCATTCGAGAAGTCTATGAATCTGTTGACGCTGAACACGGGCTACTTTCATATGCCTATGAAGCAGTCAGGATACCAGTTAGTGTAGCATGTGAAATCAGAGGCCGATTGGTTATAATTATCCGCCAATACCGATTGTCTCAATATCCTTCTTTTAACTCAGTAAATCATATCTGAGAACATCTAGTAAACTTCTGAAATATGAAAAATCATACGTTTCAACAACAAAACGGAAGTTATTTTACTAACGGTCAAATTATATTGTATTTATTAAGACACTAACATTAACCTCTTTTCTGTTTAGAAAAACGACGTGATCACGTTACCGCGTTTCATAACAATAAAGAGTGACTACGACGGACTGCTCTTAATCTGCTTCGAAGTTTAGGTAGATATCCTTCTCTTTACTTACTGTGTGTGTGTGTACATTGTATACAAATATCTGATTTTTAAACTAAATCACAGCTATTTATAGAGCGAAACAATCATCACCAGATACATTTCTACTATTTTTTATTTAAATGGTAAAACGTTTATGAAAACAATTGTTATTTGCTATTATTATGCTTGTTTGGAATTCTACCCGACTCGGAACTCGAATGTTGGGAAGGCAAGTAGATATGAAATAAAAGCTCTCCTCTTATTATTAGATTACTAAAGAAACTGCAAAAAGATCGTATAAAAAGTTCGCTTCGTTATAAGTAATCTAATGTAAGTAAAAGTTTTGGTAAACAAGTTTATACCATTCAAAACGGTTTTCTAGAGCAAAGGGATTAATTTCTTGTGGCCAGGTAGAAATTGTCAGAGACGCAGTGTGGGATCAGGATCCGATTGATTATCCTTAAAACAATTTTTTAGCTTACCAAGATGAAATCTATCCTACACCACAATTTTAGTAGTAATAGAATAGCCTAGAAATTATTGGGTAACGTTCTAGTAACAAATGGAATATGTCAGCAATAAATGGCTGCCTTTGATTTATTCTATTTAGTGTCGACTGCCCGTATTTCGTATCGATATATTTGATCCGCAAACCTCTTGATTACGATAAACGTGTGGTGTTATTTGTGATATTTGTAGCTTTTCCCCGAAAATAAAAACGAAAAATACTTTAACTACAACAATTATCGAAATAGTGTGATATTCTCAAAATTGAAGATAATCAGCAATAATATAATGCTGTGGTTATTACACGACAACCAGAAAATTTTACGTTAGAATTTTTAAGCACTGCAAATCAACCCGTTGCTCATGAATGTGTAGTCAATTTAAAGAGAACTCTACGAACGGTAGTACTTAATGGAGCAATTTCTATCTATCAATCTAGCCATTAGCATGTTCGCTGTTGATTACGTACAAAAATTTCTGTCCAAGTTATATTAAAGCTTGCGTTTTAACTAACAATTTTTTACTAACAGTTAATCAATAGTTTACAAGAGATTTAACCTCGGAACGTTTATACGTTCTACGGAATGTATTAAGTCGTAAGTTTTCCGTGGATATCAATATATAAAAACGAAGTGTACAGCGAATAGATCATGTTTGTGCCGCTACCAGTGCATCGTCACCACAATTGGTAACAAGGACAAATTAGTGAAACCGAATTGTCAAAAAGCTAGTTGTTGATACGAAGTGATTGCCCTACCACAGAACGTAGTGGAAATTTTAACAGTAGGTAGAGAGAACTTCGTTGCCAACGAAACTGTGATTTATTGGCTGCTAGAAACCTGGGTAATGGGTCAGGGCCTTGAAGAGAGAGTTCGTTTATGGCTGGATGCATTAGGGCGGTTTAAACTCAGTTTTTACATCCGGTTTGGAGACGCTGTGGGCGCGAAGTAACATCGGAGGAGTCAAAGCTCGCATATTCGAGGAGGGAAGAGCCTCCTCTCCTGAATCTGAGGAGGTCGTGAAATTTTGTACGCGTTTACCTCGGGAACACGGTGAACCAGCGCTGTAGCATGACTTCACAGCGATTGGGAAGCTTGCACGTGAGTAAGGCAACGCTTATTGGGAAGCTTGCACGTGAGTAAGGCAACGCTTGAAAATAAGCTGAAATCAAGCCGTCGATAATTAACGGGCGTGCGTAGCGAAGCGTCTATGTTTGCAATAGGCGCTTTGAAGTTAAGGATCCCAGCGCTAAATCCTGGACGTGTCAGAGAGAACATTGCGCTGTTGCGAATTGCGCGAGTAAAAGCTGCAATTGCGGTTTGCCACTCCGAACACGCAGGGATTCAAAGAACTATAGAACATGTATTAAAGCGCTTCTACATTAGCTTTGTGGCTTATTCCCTTGAGATAACAAAAGTTGTGGTGACTCGGTGTTCGAAGTTTAAGGGACCAAACGCACATCTCCCGTATTCAACAGAATTGGTACTTTCTAACAGCTGCGTACACGGAAGGCTCAACGGGGACTGTTTTAGCGGAGATGTACAGCATCTGGGAGGTTTAGCCCTTTTGAGTACTCTAGGGTGCGGAATGATAGATCGTATTTTGGGACCTATAACGAGAGTAGCGCGGCGTAAGTTTAGGTTTTTTTTCAGCAGAATTGCTGAAAAAAAATGTAAAACGTTGCATCTGTGGTAGTATAGATGTGTAGGTACTTGGTTGAGTACAAAATTGTATCTGACTGTCTGTTGTTTTCTTAGCTCAGATCCGTTCCATCCCGCGTTTGATATTTCATGTGCTTTGTTCGTCTGTGATGAAATTTAACTAAAAGATGTATGAATCGATATGTACTATTTATTAATTCAATAGTATTTTCGAATCTGAGAACTGCGCCGGGCTGGTGAGTCTCCGCATTAGTTTGGTCGCATGCTGGCCGTATGGCACGTAGTGGTGTACGGCGTAGACGCATTTGGTTTCGAACTGCGAGCCACCAGTCTGATGGAGTGCCTAACCTACCTATCGATAATGCTCGCTATGATAGGCAAACTCGCGATCGTCGCAGTGCCGGCCGCATGATAGTCGACATCGGGACCAGTATAGGATTTTAAATTTTCTGCGTTTAAGCTATAGTGAATTCCACAGAGCACGTGGATAAAAATAAAATACAAAAATCGAAAAAATTATACGTAAGTTGACCGTTATTCTTTATACAACCTGCATAAAAATAAAACCTTGCCTGTTGTAAAAATTACGGCGTGTGAAATGTGGTTATTTTTATCAGTATTAACCTGGGCTAGTAGTTCAATATTAATACTTCTTACACAATCAATATTATCATTATGCTACAACAATCAATATTATCATTATGCTACAGTAGGCATTCCACTTCTATTTTTTTGTCTCATGTGGTTTGTGGAAGTGGCTTTTAATTAGACGCAAAAAAATTGAAACCTAGTATTTATTGGTCCACCATCGGGTGAGAATTCGCAGATACTGCCCCAATACCATGCGAGAAGCGGCCGGTACTGCCACTATTGTGAAACTCTATGGCCCTATTAATATTACATATTTAACTCGCTTGCTTGTATGAGAAAATGTTGTAATTTAGGATAAGAAAATACGGGTTACCTTTACACCAATAACCTGTCGGCCTAAATTAACATGTACGTCGATCTCAAAATCTGCCCGTCCAATGCTTCTTCAGGTCCAAAGGTCTCTTAGCTACCCGACGAGTTTTTATAAGCATATTAACCTTCATTATCATTGTCATTCTCTGCCATTAGTCCAGATACGGATCTGCGAAAGAGATCCAGCGTTACTCGAGAACTGAGTTACAGGTGTGCATGTTTCGAGTCTTACGCCCGATACGAGGTCTAAGGTTGCCTCAAGCAGACATATCGTAACGTCGAATTAAGTCTAATTAATGGTCTTTTCCTGAGTTAATATGTTTAAATAGTTATAACATTTCACCATAAATTTGCAACCAATTAAGCTGTTGAAGTTTCCCGCTTACTATTTTTACCTCCGCAGCCGTCCCGAGCAGAAGATTGTTAATAAGCGGATCTACGAAGGAACGGACTATGGCTACGGACAGTTCTATGTATGTTATCCAACTTCAGGTTACTGTTACAGTAACGTTTCTTAATTTAAAGTAACGACAACGCCCTTGCCACTCTTTAAAAATACAACTGGTATCCATTTTATAATGGTTACTATAGTTTATCAGGTGGCGGCAGCTACACTGACCACAAGCTCTATAGTTGTTCCGCGCCTTAATGTGGTTGTTGACATCTGGGTTGAGGCGATTTCAGGCCAAGCAAATTTTTGTGATATATCTTGAATAGTGTCGAGGTCTGCGTTATTCTAGCCGGGTTCTGGTGAGTTCTCTAATTTTCTAAAGACTAGCACAGTTCTAGGAAGATTCGAATGTTGTGAAGTAGTGGTCTTCAGTTCATTCACGGTGCCAAATGAACGCATTGAACGCATTCATTAAGTCACAGCAATAGAAACCAGGACCGTGTGTTGAGCGTCCATTCATTCATGAAGGAATCATCCATCGTAGAACCATCGCGTTGGAACGCGCTTTCATTACTCAAATAAATGCATTGATCGCTATTGGGATCCCCGACATTTACACATTGAATGCAATTGACTGCCCATTCTTTCAGCGGCGGCGTGGCGCAAGGCTTAAATTGACGATGGTTTTTAATTGATCGGTAGAAGGGCAGAACATTAGTACGAATGAACATTTTGTCGCGCTGTTGTGACCAGACCTTTAGATCACTGAACATGATTTTCTGGTGGAGGATGAATAGATGGATGCAACAATAACCAATAAACTATACAATGCCTTCACTACAAATATTTTGTCTATAGATTAATCAATATTAACTGTTGTTAATTTGCTTGGCGAAATTTTATGAACACCTATAACACCTTTGAACATCACCTATATAGACGGTAAGACGCTACTTACGAGTCAATTCAAAAATACTGAATCGTACGCCTTGCCAATTGTGCTTTGCCGGGTTGCATACTGCCGGACAGTAGTACCTAAACATAAACAGCAGCCATGAAACGGATACGCTATGAAATGCGTTAGGCATTGCGATGGTGCAAAAAAAAATAATTGCGAGCCTAGCTGGAAAAAAATCATTAACATTGTATCATACGGTGTTGTTTCCATTGTGTTGTAATTGTTTATTTTTATGGCTAAATAACTTTAAATAGAAACACTGGTAAACCATGTTCCATAATTGTTACCCTGCAACGCCTGAAAAAAAGTTAACGAGGATATAATTGAATTAATTATATTTTAAGTAACTTCTCTTATCGGGTCAATTTTTCATATGTGTATGGTCGAATATTCAATTATTGTGTAATATTGTTGGAAAAATAAAGCCATGGTGGTTGTTGACAAATAAAATATAATAAAAATGTATAGTTTACATTTTTTTACTTACTGTACTAATGTACACAATTTACTAATATAAGAAATCAGTAACAGGACTCTCGCAACTTCTGTTAGTCGTTGACGACTTTTCCAGATAATTCGCAAGGCTTTTAAGCTACCATCGATCAGGCCTTAAGCGTGAAATCCCTAAAAATTGGCTTCTTTTAAACTAAAACTTAAAAAGTAATACCTAGCTGATTAATCGAAACCGTGCAGGCCGTTAGGTCATTCCTCAATATCGAGCCATATGGAGACAGCGGGAACTAGCACAAGTGCTGGCACCAGCGGCGGTGCTGTAGATCCTCACGGGTCATCAGTTGCAGACCGTCTGACCTCCAATACAGAGAACGACTATGGAGATGAGGACTACGATGATTATGAAGATATAGAGTTCCATAATACACCCGAACCTGAGGGAGTTCAACATCATCACGACAAACCAGTTACCGCTGCCCCTGTCATAACTAGAAGTAAGTTTTGTGCTATATGTGTTACTTCCTAGTTGCAAACGTGGAAAACTCGTATCGATAGAAACAAAAAAGCGCTAATACACAAACAAACAAGAAACGAGTCAAAAATATAGGCGCTTCTTTTTTTGTTTGCTAAGAAAGTTCATAATAAGCGCAGACTGCAAAAGGTACCACTCACCACCTTGTATTTTTCTAGTGGGAAGATACTTAACCGATGATTTGGGTCAATCATTGCTAACGCCCTTTTATGTATACACAGATGTTACTGACCCGTCAATTGGCATCGATCATAGTGCAAAAAATAGACTCAACCTGTCGGTGAAAGCCAGTTTTTTCGCTTTTAATAATATAATGGTAGTAATAATACTAGTATTTTATCACATACATTAATTCTACATCACTGCAAAGTGTCGCGACAATCTCATATAATGCATATTAAAATGAAAGCGTTTTGATGAAAAATGAGTATTTTTAATATTAGAACAATTTAATTAAGTAGTATATGTTTATTGTCTTATTGTAGTTATTTCAGCCAAGTTATGCTATAGTGAATAATTTGGCGATTATGTATGATTATGTCACAAGGTCTCTAAGGGAGAAGTGAGACGAAGTGATTCTACGGTACAACCCTTAAAGAATTTGTTTTGACAAAAGCAAACTACTGCTTATAGGGGAACACCATTATGTCATCATAACTTACGTGACGCACTACCTATTTGATATATGTTAATTAAGTTTACGGTTATTCATCAACCGTTTTAAATCACAGCATTTTGTAAATCGAATTCTCATTTTGCGACATATAAGACGTGTCCGTACAAAAACAGGATAAGACCCCGGTGTGTATATTTGTTAGAGTTGAAATTTAGATACTAAGCTACATATAAATTTATAAAATAAATCAAAAAGGGAAAATTATGCTGCTTATAACTTTGACGCATCGGGCGTCGGAATAAGCCTATAGAAATTAACTGAAGAAGCGCGCGATTGTTGGGGTTGGAGAAAATAGTATATTAAGGTTAAAAACGTCTTTGTCTAGTATATATATTTTGTTGTTATAAAGTTTTGTTGGTGTTTTTTTTGTGTAGGTGGTCAGGGTGGTACAACAAGGCCCTTGATTTTACGCGTTGTCAAGGAAGTTACTGAGAGTGAAGATGGTGATAAACCTGTCAAGCAAGAAGTGGTCCTAAAACGTAAGTAATACAACTGAGCACAGTTGCAAGACTAGCCACTACTACTGTGCCGGGAGTCACACCACTTGAACTCGTATCTCCGTGATGAATAAGAAACTTCAGTTTATCCCGTAATATGGCGATGGCTTTCCACGAGGGATATCTCCGTGTCAATTAACGAAAGGGAAGCCAGATAATCTAATTATCCATTTAGAGTAAGAATTTCTTAGCTAGATAATGAAATCGCTTATAAATTAGTTTGCTAGATATCAAGCGACACCATTCTTGCCTAGCGTAAAATTCATCAAATAATGTACTTGCGCAGATAAGTTAAATGTCATATGGCGTGAACCCTTATGAAAAATTGAAAAAAGGCGCTCATTTCAGATTATTTGCGAATAAAGGAATTGTGAAAAAAAGGATTTTTAAACAACCAGTTTAATGGAATGATTGCTGAGGCGACTGGGCTTAGTAGGAGGTTTCAAAGAAGTCCTTTGTAGACTGTACTACCAAAAGGATCAGTGAAAGTTTAAACGGAGGTATTGGACCGTGTGCGCTCAACCCGCACTTATAACCAGATAATATTAGTTCTAATCGGGTAGTTGACTTCACGAACCGAACCAAATTGCATAGGGCTCATTAGTGTTATGAACTTGCCTATGAAGGGTTACCTAAATAGAATTAGCATTCGAAATGATCAGACCCAAATAGCAGGAACGCGATTACAAGAAAAAGCCTGTGTTTACGCTTTGATCATTGCTCTTGAAGCACCCAAGGTTTTGACGATTAGAAAAAGCAATCAGGAATTATTTTAGCAAAGGGTATTGTCTATATAACAAAAGGATGCCAAGTATTCAAGACGAATAAGTAACAGTAAAACCCAAAGACGGTGAACAATTCTGAGAAGGGGAAGAATACTTTTAGGTATACCGTTCAAACAACGCGCACAGTTCAAAGTTCAGAGATTTATTATATGTATCGATTTTATTGATATTTTTTCAGTTGTAACACTCGAAGCGAAATTTAATCCTACTTTTATGAAAAGTAAGCTACATAATTGTGTATTAGTGTTAGTAGGTAACTTACTTTTCATGCAATCCCCCTATTAATTAGTAATAATAACTTGTAATTGTTAATGATAACTTAGATTTTGCATGTCGTCTTTGCAATATCGGTATTTTACTTGTAGCCGTGATGCCCGAATTTGAAACAATTCTTGAGTATGAGTGTGCCGAGGAGCTTGAAGAAGGCCCTTCCGAGGAGGAGGCTCGTAAGGAGGCTAGTCGGATTTCCCAGGACCTACTTAACGGTTTAGTAGTATATTATGTAAGACCCGGTGGGCAAGGTAGCTCGTCCGGGCAGGAATCTCACATGGGACTTAATCGAGGAGGCACGCAAGCGGGGACAGCCGGACCCGGCTTACGAATAACCGAATCCAGTGACTCTGAAGTCCTTCTAGGTAACTTCGAAAGCAACTAAATTCATTTTAGTCTATTAGTCAATATCTTCAATCTTATTCATGTACCTATTTGTTACCTGGATTATGTAGTAACATCGAAATAAAAAAACCCTTCAGAGCCATTTTATTCATATAACGTTGATTATTAGTCGTACGCAATGAACGAAGTAAATTTGTTTTTTTACCTCTTTTCAGGAAAAACTTATTTTGAAAAAAAAATGGCCTTGCTTAGTAATTGCCCTTTGATAATAAGTATGTGTTGAGTTTGTTTTGTCATGTGCGAAACAAACACATTTGTATGTAAATATTTTTAGTGGAGTTAGTCATGTTTTTCCCAGAGCCATATTTCAAACAGTGTGCTCAAATTAACCTTATTGTGTATTACAGGAGCTTCAATAAATTTGACTTAAAATTTGGTACTATCATGAAAAAGCTGATTCTCTACGAATAACCAAGAAGTAAAAGGTATATATATATAACATTTTGGCGTACTGTTACAGGTCAAGAAGGTTTGGAATCAACGGATCCCAGATCGCCCGTAGGCGCCCAACAACCTCTTCTTGATGATGATGAAGACAGCTATGACAAAAAAGCGAAATATGTATGCCACCTCTGCAAACTTCACTTTTCAGCTGGTAAATATTTATCAAGACGTTCTAGTAAGCGTAACTTGATGTACCAATCTATTGATTTCTCTCTTAAAGACGAAGAACACATAGATGTATGATATGGTCACTAGATACGGATGTGAATAAACGCCGCTTGATGTTATCTATAATTATATATTATATATATAGCCAAATACAATCTCAGAACTTATTATGGTTATTTAGTTCATGTGAAGGAAGATAGTTAGCTTTCGTACTTACTTAAGCTAGAGAACGCCCGGGGGGCGGGAGGGGAGCAAGAACTACAGGCTAGTGAAATTATAGGAACAACAACAACAGCCAAGAATTCTGCGTATTTAATGTTATGAAAGAAAAAGTTAAACGGATTTGAACTCGGATTGACAGCATAGTTGCTCACTATAGACTATAATCTGAGTTGTTTTTGTGAGCTCAGCCTGGCACTGGTTCCTGCAGAGAACGTTTCAGCAGATTTAGAAGCGATCTGCTAAAAATGAACAAGTAATCATAGATACGATATCGTAAATTGTACTCAAACGTTGCGCATTGAGAGTCATCAAAGTTGCCAATGTTGATATATACCGACTAATTATCGCGCTAGTTTGAAACGATGCTATCTTAGAAAAGACTGGTTATGGTGAAGATAAAAACTTTATTCTTAAACGACAGCGAATTCTTAACAATCTTCTTCTATTTCAAAACTAAGTTGAGGAAATTTAAGTTTTAGAACTACTCTGCTCGCAAAAGTTATAATTTCAGATAACTATTTCCTATATAAGCCTCTCAAGCAGCATCCATTTTTAGTGGCGATCAGACAACACGTAAGATATGCAGGTATCTGCAGCAAACCCTGGTTTGAATCCGAATATATGTTTAGTTAAGACGGAATATAAATACGAGATAGGATACGTTACGTATGTGTGTTCGACAACTTGTATTTGGTGAATATATGCTTTATTATAAGCATTTCTTTGGAATTTACACTTTGTGTAAATATATATCAAACGTCTTTTAGCATTTGTCTTATCTACAGAAAGATAGAGACTACTACTACTGCTACTAGGGATTTATAGATCAACCTATCATATTGAAGTCAACTATATTTCCATAGGAAGATAATTTCATCCTATAATTTTCCGTACTCATGCCGAATAGGGTCATTATTATATACGAGTTTTCACTGTTGTTAGAGGATATCGTTGATTTTTACGACTATATTTTCATCAACTGAAACCAACAATGACACAACTTCGTTTTCTGGTGTACGAAGGATGCTGTGCTTACATGACCTAATATCTGTCTTCTAATTCTGGTAAATCTGATCTGGTGGTTTAGATGGTAAATATGTATTATTCTGAACGTATTGTCATATATAAGCAAGTATCCCTTGTTCAGATTGCAACTTTGGGAAAATGGTCACCATGTCATTTTATAGGTCTGTTAAAGAAATCGTGAATACGCCCAGGAAGATCTTTTAGTGGAGGGGCGAGTCCTTAACACTATACCTAAAAGGTGATTCCGAGGAGATGGTTACGCAGTAAAAGTAGCTGAAGGCATTTAATTTCATTTCAGGAGCGGAACATCGATACCACATGCGAACGTTTCACAATGCAACAGCTGCAAGACCTTGTCCTATTTGCTCAAAACCATTTTACAACACAACTGACTTGCGGAATCATGTTATGGCGCATAAAGGTGTTAAACCCTATAAATGCCAGGTAGGTGACTACATTTTTATTACAGTAAGACTTTTTAGCTCAGGTTACGCGTATCACGCGCGATGTTGTGTACGTACAAAGGAAATGTTACCAGCAAAGCATAAAAGCAACTGTATTAATTAGTTGGACAATAGATACATTAGAGATAATCCTAGCTTTTAACACAATAGCAGCTCACACGAACAGCGAAAGGAACGAAGAACAGAGACCGCCGGGGTATTTTTGACTTCAATAACAAGACGGTACTATTACTAGTGTAAGTTATAGTACCAGCGAGTAGATCGCTATTTAAACTCTGTTTATAAAGGCTTGTATATTATTGCCTTTCTAGGTGTGGTAAATAAATCGTGTTTCATTATTTTGTTTCAGATCTGTGGGCACGCATTTACCGTTAAGTCGAATTTAACAAATCACCAGTTGCGTCACGGCCCGCTCGAATACGAATGTCAGATATGCGGGAAAAGGCTTGCACAACCGGCCAGCCTAAAGAAACACCTTAAATCACACGCTGGGAATAAACCGTTCCAGGCATGTAATACAATAGCTGACCATCTTCTTAGTTTACTTAATATAGTTAAGTATGCGTATTACTTCGGTTGCAGTGCTAAGCAGTTTGGTAAGCTCTAGTGACCTATAACCATTAACATATACCACGTTGACTAAGCGATATTATAATACAGCGGTTTAATTGAAAATATATTTTTAGTAGGAATGTATACATTATCTTATGTTTTTAGCATTATTTTGAAAATATCTTAGCTAGACGTGGCTTATTATTAGTACTGAACCACCGTGTCAATACTACTTAGATCTGAACCACGGATCTACGATTTATAAAGTCAGTGGTTTGATCAGCATGCTTCTCATAAGCCCTTCGAACCTGAAACTAGTAGCAAAAAGCGGCACTTGTTTACATTTACTGAAATGGAACCCAAAAAAATTACGTGAAGTGTATAATATTTAGTGTCAATTTTGTGATACTTTAAGCTTAATTTTATATTTCATTATCGTTGTTTGTTGGTTAAACTGAATGGCAGTATATAATAATAATAAACTTTCCACTGTATTTTTTATCTCGTTTTTTAGTGCGCACTATGCGACAAGCGATTTCTGCAACGAGGCGATTTGACCCGCCATCAACTAGTGCACAACGGCCAGCGGGACTTTACGTGCGATTTGTGTGAAAAACAATTCTCACTAAAAGCTAACCTCCAAACACATCGTAGAAAAGTACACGGGCAAGACAGCATGATTCTTATGCAGTGAAGTTCGGCTCGACTTCAGCTTGTTTCGGTCATCATAGCATTTTATTTATGGTAGAGCTTATATATATGTATATATATATGTATATATATATATATATATAAATGAGTGGACTATACCCTTACTTTGTTTCTCAACACGCATACATTAAAGGGAGATCACTAGACCCTGCCGAAGTTATATAGAGACATCCAAGTTCCTTGTTTCGCGCAATAGTGCTAAACATATCTTCCATTAAAAATAATTGCTGCAATTATTTAGCTTGTATCAGGTAGGGACGGAAAGATAATTATCTTTCCGTTTATTCCCGTTGGACTCAAGTGACCCATAGGCAAGCAATAGATGTATATTTGAGTGGAAGCTTGGTTGGCTTAGAGTTGTTGAATTAGGCAATTGTGTGAGACAACTGAACACGTGCATAAACAACTTTGTGAATATAACCAATAATGATGTTAGTATTACGAGTTGAAAATAAATACTGTATATAAATATATAATAAGTAATTAATCGTGTACTTATCTATGTAATGTATACGTTGAACATTAAAGCAGTGCAAATAATTAAAACTCAGGCGCCTGTTCTTATCCGTTTAAATTTTAAAAGTTAACTTATTATACGCCACCATTTCTAATAAAAAAGCTGTTAGTTTGGAACGTGTATGATTATATGGAAAAGATCAAACTGCTTATCTCTGCGGCATATGCAGCAAAACTTGCACATGGCCACCTGAGTCGACAGATCTAAAGGGCGCAGCAGCTGCATAAGTTAGGTCAAAATCGAAAGTGGAAAGAAAACAGAGTTCGTTTGCTTTTGTTTGAGATTCTCTGTTAGGCGAACGAACCATTCAAAATTAGTCTTATTTTCCCGGTCCATTGCATCGTACACTACCCGCACCTGGTTAATTATATACAACCAATGCACCTATCCCATAGCTGAACTGGCTTCCCCAGATGACGGGTTAAAGCATAAACTTCATTTTCTCATGCTAATATCGGATGTCTCTATTTTAATGCTCTTTTTTTTTGTAAAATCAGAGGTTCATTATTTACTCTCCTAATGTTCGGTAAATAGTCGTGATATTGTTATAGTATCAAGAATATACTTAAACTAGGACGTTACAGACTATGGACTTGTAATCAAGGGGCATATATATATATGTATATGCAGGTGGCTGCATTTGGACACATTTTGTCACGGGACCTATCATGGACGACTAATATGATCGTATAAGTTCACAGATTTAAGTTTTATTACATCGCTATCAAACTTCGTGTTATCAAAAGCCTATATTTATACAAAAAAAATAGGGATTGGTTATTTTGACTTGGCACAATAGCAACAGGTGCACAAGAAGTGCAGGCAGTTTTCGTATAGAAATTAATGCACATTTCGAAGTTGTGCTGTGAACATCGTTTTAGATTCACTGTAAATATGTGTTTATTAATTGATATTTTTAATAACAATGAACCTTTAAAGTTTGTACGTGTAAATATGTATTGTTACATATAATAACTAATACTAATAGTGGTAATGCTTGTACCCAATGCGAGTGTATTTATTTTGTGGCTTTATCAGTATCCTTCATCAATAATTTTTCGTCAATGCGTAGACAGGAACACCATATTTTTTAAAGGACCGTGGTCAGAGAAGACAATCCTTCCAAATTATTCTCTAAATAATAGTCTATTCCAAGCTGTTGTCGAACATATCTTGTTTGTAAGTTATGTACTTTGAAATCTAATTTTAACTGGAGGTTCTTTTTCAATTGATCCTTTATTTAGTTGGCTTATCCTATCACTCAATCATGCCATCGAACATTCTTCCTGATTCGCTTGTTCTGGTACGCGCATTAGAAGAGGTGTAAGAAGAAACAAATATCGACCCGATATCTGCTGAGCTGCCAAAAAGTGGGAACAAAGCTCCCTTACAGAGTATATCTAGATAATATATTATGTGTATTTTTCAAATATTTTAAATTTTTTTCCACGGAAGTGAATTTTATATTAGCCTCTATAACATTTTGATTAGAAATTAGTTGAAAGGGTCATTCAGAAACAGTTGAGAACGCTTTTTTATCCACTTTTGAAAAGTAATGTGATAGTAGGTTAGAATAACGACAGTTCGGCGGCCATACAGTTATGAAGTTAGGATTACAAATTTGGCGCAGCACTTGTTTGGCTGTTTAGTACGGTTTATTTGATCTATGTAGAGAAAAAAAGGCTAACTATTTATAATATAGGTAACGTCGAACAGCGATTGGCTATTTATTATAATAGCTGTAACTTGATAGCTTCTTGCACAATATAGTTTAAACACAGTTTTTCATGCAACACACGCTGGACATACTCATTCACGTAACGCGCTTGTTCAACCAACACAGGCTTCACATCTGTACGATTGATGATTTCCTAGCGCGGGGAATGCACGCGGTCGCATCGTCGTTTGTAAACGATGGTGTGGCCTTGTTTTCGAACGTGGAAAAGGACAAAAAAGTAACTGGCCTCGTTTTACAACCGACCGAATCAACATTGCGTTTTGGGTGAACCTTTTTGGATGCTACGAACGAAAATTATCGCCTAATCGGCTCCATCTTCCCCGTTAACCAAAACTCTAGGGACCCACAAAGGATCCGTCTCCGCTTGGGGGATGCCCAGACCCGCGCCTAGACTTTTAGTAATATATATATTATACACATGCAAGTATTTATACAATGGAATAGACTTTTACAAACTTCGACCGTTTTCTTTTCGATAATCTAGCTTCTCTGTTTTGATAGTCATAACATAAATCACTGCTATGTACGTTACCATATGACGATAAAAATTATTCAAATTACCTTCGCTCAGTAAATACACACACTGATTAAAACAAAGTTGATAGTTGAAATCGGTCTTTTAATGGCAGTAACTAGTGAATTGCTGTTTTCACCTTAAAATGATGGAACTTTGAAGTATATTAGTAATGCTGTGAAATTATATAGTTAATTTTACAAAAGTTAATGTTACGTTTTTCGCATAAGAGATTTTCCATTTTGATATCAAAAACAGTATGAAGCAGCATGAGAGAACCCCAACATATTTTAAACAGGTAGATATAGGGGCTATCGTTGAAATGTGTACCTTGAAATAAACTTCGACTTATATTTTCAGTGCTATCGACAACTATTCAGACACTGCTTTAAAAAACATTTTGTTAAAAACATGGGCCACTTTGGCTAAAGCATATCTTGTTCCTTTTTAATATCTCGCTAGTAGCGGGTAAAATGATGTAAAATTCCGAATAGTATTAAGGGCCACCGGATTTCATTGCGTCAGTAGAATTCGTTCACACTACGATGCTCGAACTTCATGAGTCAATTTGTTCCTCTATCACTCCAGAGCGTAGAAGCCGTCCAGTATACCGAACGGTGGATGTCTGGAACAGATTTGATTTTTTCGCATGTTTCGCCTATCCTTGCTACGCAAAAAAAAACAAATAAATATGTATGTATATTAAAAATTAATTTATGAAAATAAAGAGTCAATCCTGTATCTGCGTCTGCGAGGGCGTTGTAGTGGCCTTTTGATTGGCTGCTTGCAGTCAAAACTTTTTTAATAGGTGAAAGCGTTTCGTCTAGAATAGAGTGCTACTTTCCGCGAACACATCGGGCAGCAAAATCAATGTTGTAAAAGTGCTGGAAACGGTTTTTGAGGACGGCGCGCAAGTCCTCCTTTGCGGTTGTTACTGGTCTGATATGTACTGACATCAACTATATGGATGCTCAATAGTTGTAAGAGCCATCTATATCGTAGTATTATATGTTTATCCTTTGAGTAGCCGCTTTATTTTACTTCTCTCTAGAGGTAATATGAACGTAAGCACACGTTCGTGTCATGCTGGAAGCCTTCCGTCTGAAGCAACGGTCAACGGCAGTGCCGCACGTAACACTCAAGACGCCTCTACCGGTATATTGCCGTTTGTTCAACACGAGAATCTATCCTCTGTAATCAAACGTAACTTTAATTAGACTAAAAAGCTATGTGAAAGAAAGTTCAAGTTGTCTGTTGTTTACCACACTTTTCAAATAGAAATTTATTAGAGGCGGGCTTTGGAATCGTCTAACGCTCTCTCAGATTCCAATAGAGGATTATGCGAATTTAACTAACGATAAAGAATCCATCATTACGCTAAAAATACCAATTAGTATTTTTACCGCGAGGAGTTGTTTATAACAATGAGGTAGAAGTTTAAAGGTGGGAACTTTTATGGCATCGAAGTTTTCCATTCTACGAGCGGGTACAATAAGGTATAAAAATCTTTAGAAATATGGGTGCCCTTTCATTAGATCTAAGCTTCTAAATACGTTTAGATCTAATCTCTTTAGTACGTTTTAGCTTGAAATAATGAAAATCACATGTTCCATAAGAGCCTAAAAGTTTCATTGGTAGCGTTAAAACGCTGCTTGGATCAATGGACGCATAGGGAAATTACTACACCGTCGGCTAGTCATTTTCGATGTTTTTTCTTGTTGAGAAACGCAATGGTACAATAAAAAGTACCGATCGAAAATCAAACATATCTTTATGTTTGTTTTCCGTGTATGCTCTACATTACAATGCATAGATGCTTTATTCTCGATAAGGGCGTAACGAAGTCATTAATTTAGTGAAGTACAAAAGTGAATAGAGAATACGATTGTCTTTAATTAAAAATAGGGCTGAGATTAGCATATGGTGACGCATTCTACGTCGTGCAGCACTAACAGCAACAGTAACAACACAGATCACAACTGCACCAACGTACGTGATCACTGCATATGCGTGCTTTAGTGAGCGGCCTAAATTAGTAGTGCCATAATGTCGCATTGAATTGTTGCTTTTGCTTTTCTCTCGACACTTCACTGCGCCTCCTTGTCCAGCGGCTGTTGCTGATGCTGCCGTCCAGCGTCTGGCTGCGTTCGTCCCTTTGTTTCTACTGCCCTGTCGAGATTGATCATCGACGTCGTCCTGCTTGAGTCGAAAAGTATTCGTTGTTGTTATTGTTGTTGTTACTGCTCAATGGAATCCTGTAGTACTGTTGTTTCTTTTGCCAAGGTTTAATTAGAGTCACCTTCAGCCTTCTACCTTGTGCTGCACAGCTCCGCCGACGCCCTCCCACCGATTCCGTAATAATTGGCAGTAATGGTAGGTGGTCTGCGCCTGGGCTGATGTACGCCGATTCGTTGTGTGCAGATTACAGTGCATTGTAAGCCCGTAGGTGCCTGATTATCCGGAAACATATTGTTTAAAAGAATAATCCTGCGATGTCCTGTTTACATTTTCATTTCTCTTTTACGCGCGTTGCTTTTTCTAGTGCGCCAATGTCTACTATCTGCCGGAAAAAGCTCCTGCTCTATAAGGCAGTGGCTTGTCTGATAGATGAACAGACTATGGCCTACATTGATTGTTGTAACGCGACATGTTGAAGAATTGTTTTTGGCGCCAGCGGTACACTCGTTCTTCTTTGCGTGTCAACATAGAATGTTTATACCGAGTATTACTAAATATGAATCATATTATTACAATGACCCAATTTCTCCATTGCTGTTTCAATTATTAAACGTTCCACTTTGATTATCCCAAATATAATGCATTTATTGATTCTCTATAAATGTATCGTAATTTCTCTCAAAATCAATACATAATAATTTCAGCTTATTCTATTAAAATCCACAAAGAAAAATTAAATAATATTTTTATGAAAGCTTTTTATTTATATTTTTATGTCGGCATTTTAATGAAAGCGATGACACTGCGTTATGCTATGCCCCTCTTAAATATTAAACATAATATAAAGTGAAGGTCATGCAGCAGTCGACTCGTTGTTCCAAACAGTTTGGCTATTTCGTCTCTATAGAAGACATATTACCAGATAGCATTTACCTATAGCAAAAAATAGCTAGTAATGGCTACCCGCAAATGAATGTGCTATGAGGAGTTTTTCAATCTTAGACCATGGTAACTGCCTCGAGCCGCACTGGGCAGCCTGTTTATAAACGTGAACGTTGATTTCGTATGTCTAACTGTTTAGTGGTCATGATTAATTATGCATAGCATACTTCAACTTTGAGGGACTACTTCCATTGTTAAGGTAAGACATTGTGGACAACTTCTTTCATATACGGTATTTCGTCTTTTTCATATCATATAGAGATATTGAAGTTTGCTTTTTTCTTCGCATAAAACGACAACTTATGCAATTTGGAGTCGTCACAACGAATTGCTTTTTGTCAAACACGTTGATTAATTAGCCGTTAGTAATTACTGTTAGCATTCAGCCAACTGGAGGAGACTGAACAGAGCAAGAGTGATACCCATCTGAGTAAAAGCTATACGTGCAAAAACTACGTGTCCTACCATTTTATTTTATAGGATACTGTTATTCATGCTCAAGCTTGTGATCATTACAGACTCATAGACACTCAATTCAGCTTATTGCACCAGCCGCAACCTTCTCGCAGGAAATCATCGCGGACACTGTGCGATTTCTGCAGGAAGATGAGTTTCATCTTCCTGATGGTAAGAACTAAACGTCATCCCCCTGTTTATGCTCTATCATACAATATAATATCTTACTAGTCTTCGCTATGACGGCTCCTGCCACGTATGCGTGGGTTCGTCCGATGCGAAGCGTTGAAATTTCACGAAAAATTGCTGAGTTGTTAACGTGAACCTTATAATTCGGGCATGATCTATTAGATCCGGATAAACTCGACGATTTCCATGATGAAAAGCTGCGACAAATGGATGCTATAGCCAACGAATTTCAATCGCTTAACGATCTGGCTAACGAGCTCATCGATCTTAAGGTAATGACGGATGGCAACATTCACCGGCTGCTAACCGGTCTCTTTATCAATATATTGTATATAAAAAAAGTAGAACTAGGAACTTGGGATCTTGTGACGTAGCGGCAAATCAATACATGCCTGCTATGATAAACGAGCTCATTTAACTAGTAAAGTAATAAGTCGACTACAGTATGTTTAAGAGATGACATAACATTGCATTTTGCTTAACAGGTGAACGAGCTTTTACTAAAAACAACAGACGTGCTTAATGAGACAGATTTAGATTATCGCAGGCAAGTAGCTGATTTAGAGGCTCAATGCCAGCGACGCATTGACTCTGCTGGAGCGCGTCTCACACTGCGTCTCAGGTCGATTCGTGAACTTGGACGCGCCAACGAACTCCTTGAGCTTTTGCAGGTAGAGGTAATGTATAATGTCATGCCGATTTGTAGTATTGAAATAACGAAAATAATCAGCTCATCACTTGCGTCCGTGATAAGAACATCGAGATGATTCCTTATGCTTTTGTAGGTTGTTGCTGATGGCCATCCATGATAACTGAGCGGAAACTTAGGAAAAACGTTGATAGACTCACACTCTAATTTAACCATTAGCAAAAAACCGTAATTTGACTAATCAATACACATACATTGCAGCACGCCAAAGCTCGTGCACGTCAGGAGGTTCTCTGCAATATCTACACAGAACTCGAAAAGACGCTTTCTGAACGCATGCTCAATAAATTGTCGGAGCTACGTCGCGCGCAACGAAGGGCGTTCAAAAGACGTTTGGCTTTTGGGGATGGAGAAGTGCAAGAGGTGTAGTACTTACAACATGGAGAAACTGCACCAGATCTGGTTCTTCCGATTATTTTTATAAAGTCAATTTGGTATCAAATTGGCCTGGTCAGCGTTGAAAGTTGTCTAGACACTTCTATACAATAGCGGCTCGATGCCTAACATATGTACACTTCGCAGTGCCCAGAAAGCAGACGTGAAACTTAATTCATATATGTAGGCATGTTGGCGACTAATTATGATATTTGGAAGTTATGCTACCTTAATTTCCAAACACTCGAACAAGACGAATCACGAAGTTAAGCTAACGGGTGTGGAATGTAGAGGCCTTATTATATGTGATGATTTATATTAGTGCGGGTTCTTCGCAATCTTTTCTGTTACACATGTAAGCCTTGTTATTATTTATCTGTTATTTAGGGAGATATGAGCAGCACTTAATCTTCTGTTTGATTTTCTCCTCCTTTGACATTGACATCCTCAGGACACAGATAGTGTCACCGACACTGATAGTGTAGCGTTTCGCCCAGCTAAAAGGCCGCAGGGTGTTGCCTGCCCCTATATCGTATACACTCTTCGACCGCATGAGATTGAAGAAGACCTGCGAGCGATTCAACAGGTTCGTCAAACAGAACCTATACCACGGGTACATAAAACCATTTTCGTTTTGATGACATTCGTTTAAGGACCAAAAATTTCAACAAATGAAAGTCAATTTCAGAGAAGTACGCATGGTACGACATTGTCTCACTTCTATTATTATTGCTCTGCCTACTATTTTTTAACTCGTCGATTGAGTGTTCATGGTAATGATTCTAGGCCACAGCCTAGCCGTTATGCGGCTGTCGTCTATTTATTGGCTCGGGCAGATACCTGACTTCTAATCGTTATAATGTATGATAGCATAACTATTTCAATGTGCTTGGAGTCATTATTTTCTCTGAATACAGTGTCGACTCGAAAGAAATTTTACTTAGTTATACGGGCTACCTTACGTAATTGAGCGTTCGAGATGCTTATTCTTCGTAGCTCGTAGTGAATCGTTCGCTAACTGTTTCGAACCCTGTTTACTGTGGCATTATGATGCTTCAAAAGCGTCTCTTTCTGTTACTTGTGTGAATATAACAGAACAAACTTCCAAAGTCCAGCATCTTCATTTCAGTCTGACGTTGGGGGTTTCTTCACAAAGTGGAAACTAATGCTTTTCGTCACAAAGCCAAACGCTTGTTTGGAGCCACGTATGTCACCCAAATGACTTATGCTTTTCTTTGCCATTCATGAATTATTTCAGAGTTTTCTTTGCCAGCCTTCGGTATCTACGATCGACCTCTATCCCAAGAGTGACCCCGTATTGCAGGCTGATTGCAAAGAGGTGAAGGACGTGAGCTCCGACTTAGAGTAATCATGACCAATGACGACTGTGCTGACTAACGCAAATCGTCGCCTATTCAACATATTCGAATAAAATACGACTTTATCGAAGGATTTTCAACCTCGACAGTACGTGTGCATGCAAAATAGTACGGTGGTGTAATTTTCGGAGAAGTGTAGCGCGGACGTCCCGGCGGGGCTGAAGCACTGAAGCTTCTAAATCGGTCGAAAATGACGGCATCAACAATGGCCTGAAGTTAAATTTTGACTGGTGGCTTAAATGTTGCGTAAATGTGTTGGTATACATGTGGTTCTGAGCTTAGGTGGAGATGGTACGATTGTTATTATTATTATTATTATTATTAATATAAAAATTAGTTAACGAGGCACTGGCTGGAGAATTCGCTGTGATTGAAGCTATGTAATTTAATGTGTTTGGTTCAGATATTATATGAAGCAAGCACACATATGAGTCTGTCATTCAACAGATGAACGAACAAAAAATAGACGAAGCCACAAGGCGAATACAGACAAGTAAACAGATGAACCCACATTGAAAAGTGCATTGACTACAGAAAAGGATATGCGAGTATATATTTCTCTACAATAAATGTATTTGTTTTAGCCGCCAACAAGCGTGCACTTACTTGCCATTCCCAACAGAAGCTAACTTAGCCAATGAGTAGTACTTTAATAGAGCAAAAACAGCCTTTCTTGCTATTTATCACCCTAATGGATGTAATTTTTGCTGCTGTTTTGCAAGCTCGAAGTAGGCTACAATCAATGCAAACGATTTTCCTAACCTTTTCATGTCATAAGCTAATTTTCGTTCCATTATGGGCTTCAATGCAAAAGGTCCGGTGGCATCGCTCTAGGAAGTTCTAAAGTTTGTTCAGGACCTTGTTACACAATATTGGCTAATGCACCGAAAAAATACGAAATCAATACCAATGGCCTAATCAATGGCCTATAGGCCAACGGTATCGATCTAGTAGGTAGTGAATCAATAAAAATAATTATAGCTATTTAACCATACTGAAAAACCATACATATACCAAAATGTATTTGTTCTGTGTCATTTTCGGTTCATAAAAATTGGTTCAAAATTGTAAAACTTTTTCGTTTTTCCCCTTTTCTTTTTTTTTTTTTGTAAGACATCTGTAATAATCTTCTGCGAATAGTAAATTACCATCGACGAAATTATTACCTTCCTGCTTATAGGTCCTTTATGAACAATTTCGCCATTGCAGTCTGTAAAAACATACATACTGTACATAAAAGTGAGCATTCAAAAATCAATGCTGTTACCAAAACCAAAGATACACTATGTGGGACCTGAAATGTTTTGTCTGATCTTCTTTAATTCGTTTCTATTTATAGTAAATTATACTACTTGCGTTTTTATCGCCTTTCGTTTTATTATACAGCACTTTTCATCTCGAAAGGAAAACGACACGGACAAACATGTTAAAGTAACTTTATACTCGAGCATAATACGGTGAGGCTTGAAGGCCCTTCAGCACTCTCACCAACCTGTTAAATTAGTCGGAGGCAAGCGGACCTTGTCAGATCAATACGGAACAGTGAAGCTCGTGGCGCGCAGAGGAAGAAGCAGTCGAATTAGTGTAATTCAAAGAGTACAAGGGGAGTACTGCATAGTGCCAAAAAATATATTCTGAGATTTAGTTGTATAAACAAAAATAGAAACAGAATAGGGCGAACAATGAAACTCTTTGAACATCACTGGAAAACAGACTAACTGATAACGCAGAGTTCTGAGCAATGTAGGACTTGTATCGGCCTATTAGCACCGGTGCCGCTCAATCGTTCATGTTGAGTTTCCTTTTCTATCAATTTCAAGAAAAACGTGGCTACATGCGGCTAGAATCTCACGGTGTTCACTTGTTTACAATTCTATTGAACCCAATAATTAGAGCCGTTTGGGATGAACTAACACAGCTTGAAAAACTTGGGAGGATGACGTTTACAGTGACCAATAGCGTAACAAAGAATCTGATAACGGTCTTATACGCTGAAAACATCTAAAAGAACGCCCCTTTCTTGTACGAAGTTGAGCTCACTATAATGCTAGTACCCGTAATTCCGTTGAAGCCTTCCGGTCAAAGAAAAAGGGAAGTCAACAGCGCGCCGAAGTGGCCATTTAGTTCTGGAGTTCATTCTAATTAAGGCAATCCGGTACACTTCGGAAGTCAACTCACGTCTGTATGCGTTATTTGATGGGCTGGGTGAGGTTTTTCATTTTGCTTCACATGACAAACTTACTCAGGCTGGTGCGCCTGAACATGTTACAGCTGGTCTTAGAATACTTCCATAAAATTCGATGGGATTGGCCATGATGTATAGTACAGACAGGCTTTACTCAGAAACGTACTTCCCTGACCCCAAAAACCTTGTACCCGCTTTCTCCCTGATCCCAATGCTATTCTCCACCTTTATGGCACAGCTAACTCGAATCGAGCAGGATTCAAAATAGTGAGAATACAAGGTATTAGTATAACGTCTAAGTTTCAAACGCAACAGAGCACGGGCGCTAGACTGGCAGCATACTATAATACCTCCAATACTAGGCCTCAAGAAAAATTCCCAAGGAAATGAGGAGTTGTGTTACTGTCAGATCGGATTCGCGACGCCCAAACCAAACAAATGAGGGGTTTTTTATTCTTTTGTATTATGATATCTATGAACAACTTTACGGAGACGATTAGAAACATTTTAGGAGTGATTTTTGAATAACTCGCAAGCCACGCCTTCTTTCCTGAGAGATTCAGCTCTCAAACTATTTGATACACATTTACGGCTTCGTTTGGTATACAGAGACTTCCCATATGGACGTTCTCCGTCATGAAAGCAAATGTAGACAGAGTATGTTCCGTACACTTCAAGTACGTTCCAAATCTAAATACGTATTTTTAATACGGTACAAGCGTCTGACGCTCCCTTAGCTAATACACCGCTGATTATCGAAAAGGAGATTCGATTTTGACAGGGAGCTTTCGCAATAAGTTCCTGCGCAAGAACTGATGTAAATATTATCGTATCCACCGTATTTGCTTATCCCTAGCTGGATGCAGCTGATCAAATTAAATATGATCACGCCACTACAGCCATACTTAGATTACCTTATATGGCTCACGAGTGTAAAAAGACAAACGACTCAAGCATATATAAATGATTTTTAAAAAGTAGGCAGCTTATGTGCGTGTGACTTCAAGCTGATATTCAGCTATCTTCCCGTATGAAAGAATCACCGCATTCATTTTTCAGATCCTAAAGGCTGCTTGTAAAGGTCCTACTGGGCTGGGATGACGTTAGAGTATCCATATCAGCAGCTATTGACCTTTTAACTTCTTGCTTTTTTCGTAAGTTTGTTTGTGACTATCTGTTGACGTTAACATCTGAATGAATGGTAGTAGTCTTGTCTGTTACCGAACCAAATAAACGTTTCGATTCCGTGTCCGTTGTGTCAAGTCGCACCGTCGAACGTGTATTAATCCGCCAGCTTTAGGCTCGTACGCCTTACGTTAAAAAAAGTGCACGTAAAAAGTATGATACGTACGGTAAAAAGATGCAAAGATAATGAGAAGACGGGGAAATTTTGCTATAAACAAGATCATCCTTTTCTACAAATCATCAGCAACGCATCGTTAAAAGAGTTCGTAGGATCTACAGTGGTTAGTAGGTAAGTCATTTTTACAGAGCTGTCTAATGAATGAAAGCATCGAAGGAAGAGGAAAGCAGCGTGAAGCAGTTTGGCACTGATGCATAGATGGTCGTGCTTTCCTTGTGTCTTTTCTATTTCATTTATAGATAGAAATCTAATCTTCTGTAGGCGACCATGTGGCTATTGAGTAGCGCTATCAATATGCGATGACAGTGCACGGAAAACTACCGCTTGAAATACAAGGAAAATCCGTAAACTAGGTAGAGAATAATCGATGGCTATGCGTTGTGCCCATTGATTTGTTTTACTAACAGCTTTAAGAAGAAAAAGAGAGTTTGCGAAAGGCGGTTTGCGAAGATGCTTCCTCCATTAGTCTTCCGTACCGATGCTACTATTAACGTTTTTATTTTAATAATTACATTCCATTACCGCGAAATGTCCGTTTTACGATCACGGCGTAATCTATTCGGGATATGAGTTCAGCCTCAACCAATGTGGATTTGGACGTTTACGTGCGAAGGCGTTTGTACCTTTGTAGTGAGTATTCAAACGTCCGTGGAAAGACAACAGGAGGTGAGAGCAGCAGACCAGTAAAAAAAAAAAAAAATATATATATATATATATATATATTGGTAGACAGGTAGAAATATAGTTAAAATAGTATCGTTTGCGTATGATTTGACCGTTCAGAGAAAATGTAATGTTCTTTTTACTTAAGCACTAGTTCTTTTGGCTAACACTGTAAAGATGTTAGAATGTACCGAGGACCGATCAAACCACTCTAAGTTTATAGTTAACTTTTTTAGGTCACAATCGCATTTCAACCAAGTGACAGTTTTGTTTAATATATAGTTGACTATGTGTTAAAAGTTTTAGCCCATTAACTGAAACCTAGTCATCTGAACGTACTTCAGCAAGCAACTTAGATAAAGTTCTTTTTCGAAGAACCTCTCCATACATAAGCAACACATTCCTCAAACTAGCTGAAATACGCCCAGTTAACACATACAGCTGATCAGTTACTTCTTAAGTCAACAGACAGTCTCATAAAAACAGGCAAATAAGCTATACGTGGCTTATGGAAAGGTTAATTAGAGGATTTCTTACGTTAGTTCTTTATGTTATGTGTTTTTTTGATATTTACACTTCAAGCGTTCGTTCAAACCAATGCGAGAATGAAAAAGATACTTTTATTTTAGGACGGAGCTGTTCATGTATCAGTTATCACCGGTACCACCGGGTGATTCTATCGGTGATAAGATCGGACCTCTCCCTCGCCATGGAGCGATCACTCTTGATGGAAATCGAAGGTAAATTCGAAAGTGTACTTCAGCCCGACCGACAACGTTCTTGTCCAGTGGGCCCAACGCGTGTGACAAATGAGGGATATTTGGATATAGTAATGTTTTCGAAAATGCATGCCTCGACTTTATCGCGCTCACGAAAAAATCACTAAAAATACAGCTTGGTCCAGTGGTTGAACCGCAATGAGAAATTACTTGTTTCTTTTTCCCTACTCCACTTTTGCTGCTTTGAAGCTATGAAGGTCTATAGCTTCAATGCGCTTGTGCAATGAATGCTTTGAAGCAAGATTCCATAGGTATATCTGTTTGTATGGAACTGTATTCGAATTCACTTCGTTTGAGGTTACATAATTGAAAACTGAGTGAAAAAATTTGGAATATTATACTGATTGCAGCTTTTGTTAGCCCGGTTGAACGAACCTTGTTAAAGTTCAGATGGGGTATTTATTGAGGCTTGGCCCACGCAGCTTTATATATTGACTGAAGAGGACATTGAAGGTAAACACACTCACTGTTAAACGAGGTGGATTATCCACAGTTACCTATGGAAATTTTATATATATATATATATATATATATATATATATGTATATATATAGATGTATTAGAACCATAGATTTATCGTATCGCTTCTGTAGAAACAGCAGATACAGTATGGACTTGCCGTTGTTTACCTTTTACAGGCATTTATTTTCGAAAGTGTTGAAACGAATGTGCATATAAAATTTTTACACGAAACTAATATTTTTTGAAAATTGCATTGTATTAAAAATTCTTTTTTTTTTTTTTGAGCATTTTCGTTAAATGCTGGCTGTCGCGGAATTACGGACTGTGATAATCTGCAGTAGCTGTTCGAAAACAGGTGTCGCTTCTACGAGTCTACCGGACGTTACCGTTATCACAACAAATTAGAATAATATAGAAAAATTACTTAATTTACTCAACTTAATTTCGAAACGGGGCACACTAAACAGGGCAGAAAATCCCAAAAATTTAAAATTAATAGTCACCTAACGCATACGCTTATACGCATTAATGTGTGCAATAACAACTATTTACAGATGGGGTCACAGTTTAGGACGGCATCCTGGCGAAGGCCACGTGGAAGCGATCGAGATAATTGGCTGGATAGCAAGATGTATGATCTATATTGGAATAAAGGAGATGGCTGTGTACGAGCTAAGTACTCACAGTATAGCCTCCAGAAGTGCAGAACTGGCAAATCTGTTTCAGCAATTACTAATTTTAAATTCTGAGAGAGCTTCAACAACCGTATGTAGCCCGATGTCTAGCTACGATATGTAGAGGTCAATATCCACCTATCAGGTTAGGTACAGGTATATTTATTGCAAAACGGTTACTATTATAGAGCGGAATTCTATGAGGCAAAATTCCACCACGTACCAAAAAATAAAATACACACGCAGTACGTAAAGTACATTTTAGAAATAAACAAATCTTCATGAAGCGATTAGTATTTTAAATATCAGGACATGTTGCGTTCCAGTTCTGACAACTTTGAGCCAATGCTGCCAACGTTTGGTTCCTCTGGAAAACGTTCATGTATGTAGAGATATATGAGGAAAAGACGTTATGTTTGCCTTTGATCGGGATCCTAAAGTAATTGAAATAGACGATATAGTTACCCGGCTTTCACATCATACTTGCGCTTTTTGAGGTGTTTCCTAACAATGATGCTGTATGCCGTGCGTATGATATGCACGAGCGCGATGTTTTTCTCAATGGCACTCTGTGTAGGTAGGTATGTTTTATGATCGGGGTTTGAGGAATTGAAGTTCGTCATTTCTGAAATTTCCACAACGATTAGGAATTACTCGTGATCTATTGTATGCCAGGCGTCCGAAATTAAATGACAAATGTGACGATGTCGTCACATTTCGAACACAGGTATCGTGTACTCACATGTTACCTGACTCTAAAAATAGACACATTTGGTCATAGCAGGCATCTGTTTATCTATTATTCTTAGTAATTCTTTTTTCAACAGTTTCGTAGATTCATTACGGGGGAAGCAAGAGGTTTGTGTTTCAAAGATCAACTATTGTCTAATGCTTTCGCGGCAGTCGAACCCCCTACCGTGGCTAGCCAAGACCAATGGTCGACGTTCGTGATAGTTCGTTTGACGCAAGTCCGCTAAACGAATCTACACATCCCGTCCTATCGTCTGCTACTGTATACTGTTTTTAATATTATCCTACATTTTATCTAGTGCATAGTAATGTGTGTTGCCACTGCTTTCACAGATTGTCGCGATGCGCACCGCGGAACGTTAACTATTGTTGCTACGAACACCGCAATTTTATTTTTTGCGTATGTTTCGTATTGATTTGAAGAAGTGCCACAAACGGTCATCTCTCGTTATCCCGTTATTCGAAACTGGTGGCTTTTCTTATCTATCTAGAAAGTATCTACTGCTCTAAAACGGTTTGCCACTACTATTTATAGAGTAATCGATGTGTCGCGTAAACATCTTGTGGAAGAAGTCCTTCCTAAGCAAAATATTTATTTTAAAATCCACTTCTAAACAGACGGCAGCAATTTCGTTCTAGAACCCCCTTGAAAATATAAATGTATTTTAGTACAATATCATACACCTTATTAAGGGTTGTATCGTCGCTTAGAGCAGTTAGTGAACAGCGTACGCGTTCTAAATACCAGCTTGTTTCTACATGAATAACGGTGTTACTACTACATTTACTCAGTATTACATTGATTTATTCCGTCTCGCCAGAATTTTTAGCTCTGTAGTTGAAGAAGTCATTGAACTAGTTTCTACGATGATCAAACGCGCCCTTAAACACTTCATTCGTCAGCGGCCAGAAACGATGTCAGTCAGTAGGTGCAATGTCCAGACATTTCGGCGTCTACCCAAACAGCTTGCGCAAGGCGAGCTTTATCTTGTGTGGTTTGCCATAATCCTGGAGAGAGATAACTGTGTTTTATCTATTGACCAAAGTCAGTGCAGCTAACCCATATACAGATGTCTGTTGTTTTTCAGGCACTTCCCTGCGTAAGTTTCATTCCTTCAGTTCAATAAAACTCAAATGATGATTTAGTTCAGCTCTGTGGCGTAGACGTACCTATGTATTCCTTCCTTTGCTACATTTCGATGTGGAAACACCTTTCTGGCTACCGGCGGCAAATCTGGATGGAAACCTACCATTGTGGTTGCGTATTGGTTAGGGCCGAAGGGGAAATGTAATAAGGAGCTGGGTTGTTCCGCGTCCCGATTATAGGGCACTCAAGTTCCTGATTTCTAGTAAAACCCATAGATCAAGATGACTGACAATATCTGCTCGGCCAATCTATAGATTGCTTGAAGGCTATGTTCTTTCGGAAACGGCTATAGTCGGTTTGTTAACGTATAAGTAATGATTTATTACCGCCAAAGCAGCGACCATCGGCTTCAACACGAAACAGGACACAACTACAAACTGTTTGTCGAAAACTGCGTGAAGTGTACACAACCAACCCGCTACATACACTGACTACTTAGCAAACCACGCGGACCGTAAGGCACAAACACACTCATCAGTGACGTAGCAAGCAATCAGAGGCTGTCCTGAGGTGACTGATATTAATATAAAACCATATAATATATGAATATTAATCGAGTTTTTTCCTCAACATAGATAAATATCGTCCATAGATCTTAGATAAGTATAGGAACAAAAAAAGCCGTAAAATGTCCTTAGTAATTGGTAAATCAAAACCGTCAAATTGACTCAGGAAAGGACGACTATTTGTTCGACTGTAGCTAAAAGACGTTGCTTCAATGGCTTGCTAATACTGTGCTTCCCTTAGCCTTCTTCCCAATGACATACAAATTTCCGCCGCTGAACCTGAGCTAAAAACACGAAACCATACAGGGTGAGCAATCCAAATACCCGCTCATTTAATTTTTTTTTTTACAAAAATTGTCCAGACGACGAGCAGAGAAATTTTGCCCAATTGTAAATAAACCTGAGGCAACAAATACTCGTTTATAGTAGTTTTGAGTTCAGCTTGCCACAATCATGTCATCATACCGTAGTTTTCAAAAATTTACCAATGGCTTACCACATAAAACATCTGCTGAATGGGCAGACCTAATCGCTTTCAAACCTGTAAAAACGGAGTATACTTACAAAGTCTTGTGACAGTAACAAAGTCTTGTGAAAATACTTATATCGTCTCGGTTTTTTTTCTGCTAAAGCTTGGAAAATCCGAATTCTTAATCTTCGTTTGCGAAGGCTCACACTGATATAACGTCAAGTGAGATTGCGGAAGTAAGGGAACCTTCAAGCAGGATGAACATTTAACAGAAAATTACTACACTCATTGTGGCCCAGCCAGATGTGTGGACGTTCTAAAGGTTATCTAACACATATACGCAGTCTGAAACTGTCCTCATACAGAAAATTTATGTTGCCAATTTTTCTCTATTAGGATCACTATTAGTCACGCAGTGGGCTACAGCAGCCGACATAACTTTACTCGCATGGTGAACAAGCTTCGAACAGCGTCTGAAGCTGGCCTGCTTAAACCGAGGTAAGCAAAACCTCACGGACGGTTTTCAACGCTTTCATAAGAATAGAATCCTGGCTCCCGAAATTTACCGGTGCGGCCTTAAGCATTTTATCAAAGAAAGCGTATTTGGGCCTGACAGAACGGCCTTTATGCCTTATGTGTTTGCAGTATCGCCTTTCGCATCATACGGCAGCACTGCCACCCCACAGGTGCGCTTACGTTACGTGCTGTTACGAACAGCTATATACAGGAAAAATCTAACTTCTATGGCATTGTTTCCGATAACGATGTCCCGAAGGGTTTTGTTCCGTGCAGAGATAGTGTCATAGCAGGCGTTAATTCTAGTAATCATTGGTAATGGGACCGGACTAGCAAAAGGTACGTGCAGTGAACGCTTTTCATCTCGTACTGTGGTAGTTCGTCTACTGATGGCTTCCTTCATTGACCTACTGATTTCAGCGAAGCGAGCTTCAAACTACTGAGTAATTGTCTATGCGTGTGGGGTGTACGCCTGTTGATCTCCTACTGCGAACTTCGGGAGAACGTCGTTTCAGTGATTTTCTACTTTGGCAGTGTGCATTCTCTATTAATGTCTTCGAAAAGCGGTGTCTTCCTTCTGTTAACATCTGCAGCATTACCGCAGCTCTACTAAGCTTCCAAATTCAACGGCCTGTACTCACTTTGAGTACAGGCCGTTGCTCCAATCTGTTTACCTTTTTGATGTTGTGATAGGACAATATCTTTAGGACGTGCTGTTTCAATATTTAGCTGCAGACCTTGCATCTCCAGATTTAGCGCCTTACATATTATTTAGCTCACTACTAGGCACAGGCACCTGATAGGCGCCTCAGGAACCTACTTACCTTGAAAAATTGTGAATTAGCTAGCACAATTTGAATACGCAAAGTGAGACAAAGCTCACTTATCTATATATATGTACGTTGTAACGAAGTGGCTTAGTTTTGCTGTTGGTTGTAGGAGCTGTGCCTCGAAGTATGTTTCTAAACCTTTCCATGGTCTCCTCGTGGCGCTTACCCAGCGTTATTGTCACGCCATGTAATAAGTGGTTGGTACGGTTGGCCATTTTCGACGCAAATCGAGGTTTTCATTCTGGGCGTGCAGCAACAGGCGCTCTCGACAGACTCCCCACAACGATAACAGCTGTTTACCCCGTCCAATAAAGTCAATGTTCGCCTTCTTTCAGCACGGTTTGCGGATCCGTGGCCAATGGGAATGGACGTATATTCATAATCCTCCTCTGCGAGCCGACATACGTTGCATGCGGCTCAGGTGCTCTAGCCTATACGTTTCTGACCAGAAAAATTTAAAAAAAAAGCAAGCGCGCTGTCAGCTGTTATACGGTTCTGTTAACCTTTAGACGGCGCCGATGACATGCTGAAAAAAAAACATGGTTTCGGATGATTTTGGAAGGGCATCCCCTTCGATAGTGTGCTATTTTTGAAGGTTACCCGATTTTCCCCGCATATATTACCTAGACCCCTAGAAGAAATCCTAGGGCCATTAAATTATCTGTGGTACTTTATTAATCTATAGCACGTATTTCTGCGAAAATGTTGTTCCATTTGTGTCGTGATGAAATACAAAACGCACGACGATAGACCTTGCTTTTCGATACTTATAAAAGCTTCATATATATATAATGGTGTCATTTGATGTACGCTAAGCATCGTTTTTCGACGCTCTTTGGAGCATCCAGGAATCTTAGTTAAAATGTTTACGAAATAGGAAATGACTGGCACGAGTCGATCTGTTTTTCCCTTGTTTATTTGCTAATGAAGAATTGCCAAAAAAAATGATCTGGATACGCATAAAACAAAGATTTAATATTTTTACACTATCCATTATACCTTTTGAAAATATTCTACACGTAGTTGTGTTCTTCCTATAATTATTTCAGCCTTATATTACAAACTCCAGCGGATTGGATCCTTCATCGGATACTTCATCAGGTATTTGGACAATGGACGAGTGAAGAAGGAGCGAGAACTTCTACTGGCTACTGCTTGGGCCGAATTGCACCACAGAAAATATTATCGACTTCAAATGCCAAAAAGAGTCGACTGTAGAGGCTCCGAAGAATCATATTAATCCCCAATTTGTCTTCTTTAAAAACTAGCCGTGGTTCAAACGAGAGTTTTGTTATAATAAACGTTCTTGCTGCTATACGTAGCGTTTACTTTCTATTACATAAAATATTCAAAAGGATAAAATAGTAATATCAACAGATACAACCGTTAAGCATAAGTGCTATGTTGCTGAAATACTCTCAGGCTCGTTTTGTGCACAGGATCTCTTTTTGTATGTTTCTACTAGTTTCAGTAGGGAATTACCTTCAAAATACGAGTGATTTTAGAACATCGATTTGATCTGAAACCATTGTTTAGATATACGTTTGATACATGTGTAGACGAGTACGGGAAATTTCTCAGCAGCTGCGATCAGCAAATATAGAAGATACTGTTAAGGGTGGGAACCAGCTGTTGCAAATGTAGGATCCTAAAGTCGCGTTCGTCTGCTAGTTTCCTTCGATGCTGCGTAAAAGGTTCGCGTTGAATGATTCTACGTAACGACCGAGTGTTGAACAACGCTCAAAGAACTACAAACCGCACTACGCCTGGAACAATACTAGAATTACAGTGTGAGAGTACCACAAGCTTATTGAGAAAAAATCGGCATCCGCTGGAATCGATCATGCTTGTCGTACTTATATCGACAAAGAAGAAAACAAATATGTATATTTCTTTCTTTTTTCTGTTAAGCGGCCCAGACTATTTAAAGTACATTAGCTGTGATCCGTTGTCGTACTTTGTTGTCTTTCTGTGATACGTTTGGCTACGACATGCTGTTCGTCCCGGAAGGTCAAATTTATGTGTATTTCTCTAAATATTCAAGTACGGTATACGTGTTATTTGCATTTTACCGTTATAAGGCAAAGGCTTACATTGCGGAAACTCTTCAGCTTCAAGGTTTTTCGGCAAAATGCGGCTGAAGCAGGTGAGGCGAAAAGTTTATTTTACTTCGTACTAGGAGACTTGTAGCAATCCATCTCTCGATTTCTGCGACTGCGCCGTTTCTGTTCCTGCGTGTAAACGTTCAATGGAAACTCCAACGATGCTAAGAACGACAGCATAGAGCGCTTTGTTTGCATCTTCGAAAACCAGATATTCATTTAGTGACATTGGCATTAAATTCAATTTGCCCTTACGTCGCGGCATTATATAGTGTACTTGTTTAATCACAGCCTTCGTTTCTTTTGTCATACTACAAAAAGAAAAACTCGGGAGGAATTCAGTGCCATGGTCTCCTGGCAGAGACAGTACCTAACAGAACCTTTGTCGAAACGTATATGTAAGGACCCATTTATTATGATCGAATTACATGCAATTCCGATATCGAGTAGTGACTTTACCAACATAAGACAATAAATAAATTAGTTTACTAAAAAAGAGCTGTAGAACGAGTATATCAGAACATCGTTATCGGACAATACACACAAGCGTAGATTGAGTTTGTTTAAACTTTCATGGTGGTAACTAAGCTTTCGATGGCGGGCGATTTCAAGGGAAAATTTCGTGTACTGCTCTCACACCTCAGTGAACCGATGACTGTACTGATGCACTTAATTAATCGCAGTCTTTTTATCTATAGCGAGTAAATTTTTAGTTTCGTTATGCAGACCTTAGCCCACCGCAGCCATTGGAGGGTTCCAATGGCCTAAATGCTTTATCCATCGTTTTCCCATTGCAGTTTATACACTGCTCGAAAAAAAGGTCTGATTTCGATTTAGGAATCAACAGTGCACTTACACTACCTCACTAATTTACCGCAGCTTTATATAATCAGCAGTTATTCTCGCGATATTAGCCTCCAAATAATGGAAACGGTACTTTAGAATCTGTTATCCTGCTAGTCTATCAACAAGTAACTTCACATTTATACGTTGCTGTCTCGTATTGCGCTTAATTCGCTTTCCCGTTAAAATTTCCATTCGATCGTCGGCTCAAATCGTTACCTCACAACTTCCGGCTCCGTAGTTTCTTGAACAGTACTGCACGAGCTTCCACTTAAAGTTTTCATTTCAGTAACAAACCCAGAAGCCCTCATAGAACTGCCTGTAAGCCGTTTTAAGGGCCATACACAGGCATACTAAGTGATACACTCGGTCATCATCGGTTAGGGCCTTTACCTGTGCGGGACGATGCCTCGGTGTTTGTTTCAACGGTGCATGCAACGGTGATGCTTTCAAACGAAGATGTTATTGGTCTCGGTTTATAACCAATCAAGTTTCGCTACACTTTTCACGAAGGTGGCCTTAAAAACTACACCCTGTTTATGCTCTCTAACAGAGCCTTTCAGGCTAGATTCAGTTGCCGCCTAAAATCCTTAATTAGCACATTTTATTAATAAACGTATTCTATTTTACATTTACAGAAGCAAAACGACAATACTAATAGGCGAATTAAATATATAACAACGCCTGCTATTGAATATCTATCGATCTTCACCCCTCCTCTTGACGTAAGAGAAATTGTATGCTAAAAAATTGTTAAACGAATCATTGGCGTCACCCGATGTCAGCATCACTCCTGTAAGCCAGATACTTAAGGATGAAAAATGTGGTAATGTGAGGCAGGCATTACGCAAATTACTTTCAAATTGGTGAAGAGACCTAATAATGTAGTGGTCCAAAATGTACAACATTATTTCTGGTGTATTTCCTAACTATGAATGTGAATCTCGCCCGTTCCTGAGGTGAGATATAGTGTGCCATCATTTAGTGGAAATGTTGCAGGATGTTGTCAAAAGTGTTGCCAGGACAGCTGTCGAGCGATGCTATTCGGTGGACTCACAATGTTTCCTATGCTAGTATTGTTTTGGTATTTGAGCTGGCATATAATAGCTATACCCATGACCATGGCTGAAAGCAACGTAGAGTTAGCTGTGATTTGAGACAGGTTCTTTAGAACAAAGGAGAACATCTATGGTTCGGTTTTATGGATAGTCATTGCGAAGCAAACTCGTGTCGGAAATAGGCGGTGGTTACGCGACGTGTCAACGTCATGCGAAAGAGTAACTCGTGGGAGCAGCTAGATCTTCGTGTTCGGGAATCCGCCCGTGACCCTCTTGCGGCAATGACATGCGGGTACGAACCACCAGCTACCATTTAAGTACCGTTGCATTTTAAAATCAAGGTTCCTCATAAGAATAATTGTCTCGCCTTTTTAGTTCGCGGCAAGAGACCAGATACCTCAGCGCTATACGAGAATTTGGTAGTGAAGTAAGTCGATACGTTCGCACCGTATAACAACATTTCCAGGCAAAACGTGATATTACTTTGAATACGTATACTACTAATCAATATCTAACAGGAACTGGGAGTGGTAGCTGTCAGCCGCAGTGAGTCATCCTGGGTCCCGCGCAAGTTGAGTCAACCATTGAAATACCTCACGTACGCATTTTTAATGTCGGCATTGGCAGGCATTACACTGTTAAAATTCTGCCGAATGGTTCATCAGGGCTGCGTACATCATAAAAAATTCGGGGATCGACCTCCAAGACTTCGCGTTTAATCACAGCCTCCCGTCCTACCTAACAACAGCTCTTAGGCGAAGAAGATTAGCAGTTTCTGAGTTACTCTCAGAACTGCATAACTTGTTTTCGGTGGCCCAGGTACGGATCTTGAAACGAGGGTGGGCAATGAGGCTTGTAGGCATCAAGGTTTCAGTGACGCCTGATGGAGCCGCTGCAAGTGCCATCTTCCTGTCAGCGCGCACTTTCCGAACGAAGTTTTATGGACGGAGACCGGTACATTTGCTTCTAAGAAGGAAAATTGCCTGTGGCATATGTACGCTGTGGGCATTTGCCATCGTCTAGTCTCAATGTCTTTCGGCCGAGAAAAGCCTTTTCTATATGCATTTCTCTTTGTATGTGCTAACATAACCTGCCTGCATCTATTGCTTTTAATAGCAATAAATGTAAGCACAGACGCGACGAAGCACAACACGCAATTAATAGTTTTCCCCCAGTGGGGGGGGGGGACGGTGTAGATCCGAGAACGGTACAATAAGTCGAGAAAATTCGAATGGCAGTATGTCGGCAAGTGGGGAATTTAGGAGCCGCGCCTTTGTTTTGTCCACCTGTTGTTGGTCCACGTATAGAATCTAGGTACTTCGACGTAGTGCTTTAGATAATGCACTTTATTCGCTTCGTGGGTTTCCCGCAAATCCTGACATTATAGGCTGCTAAGTCCTTGTGAAAGAACACGTGCTGCTCTTGGGGTAAGTGCAGGTGGAGTCGCCTAATAAAGGAGTTGGAAAATTCGGCATCTGTAAGGCAGCTTTGCAAAACTCAGTATATCAGCCGGCACGGTACTGTCCTATTTTATCAGTTTCACAGACAGCCCTGTGTGTGCATCATGTTCTATATAATCAATCTGACCAGGGAACATAGTTCCCTTTCTAGTCGAAGGTTTCCAGGAGGTCCGTGTTGTACGGAGGCACTCACTGCGATGGTATGGCATGATTAACATTCTGCTGGCTTTCTTTGAAGCCAACAAATACGTTCATCTGGAGAAAGCGATGCGTCGGATAAGCGTCGTACGTGCAGAATGTACGCGTCGTTTAGGGAGGGAGCCTTCTAGTGTACTAACCGTTTATCATACATAGATCTATGTAGGACGGGCAGTAAATCATCTGCTTGAGTACAAATATGTAGGGGTCTAGGTCCCACACTGGGTTGGTTGATATCAGTTCGCACAAAGTTGTGGTACATTTATGACTGGGGCTTCATTTGCTCGTCGTTTATTGCAAGAGTACGGTCTTGCAGGAGCCCTCTGTCTTGATATGTTTGATTGCTGGACAAGCATGAAACAGGTGCGGTATAAGAAGTTTTTTTTAAGTGAAACACTTTTTGATGAAGTCTAGCGGACCCTTGGGCTGTTGGCCCTCAGACATGTAACGAACAATACCTGACCATTGCACGTTACGTATTGTAGATGAAAACCGTGAAGCGTTGCCAAAAAAATGCCAATGTGTCGTCACATTCTGTTACAGTTCCGCCATATACTGTAGACTTCTTTTAAATGGCAGAGAGAGGACGCACCGTGAGGGCTAGATCACCATCGTTGTCGATCGCGTCAGCGAAGCCACTATATGTTGTCGCCTAAATAAAAACTGTTCATTGCATTGAATATAATATGGGTTTTTCTTCATTTTCGCACCATTTCGACGTACTAATACACGACGAGGTAATACAGCGGTCTGCCTAATGCGGATGATTAAATTCTTATGGCGCGGAACGCATAGTAGCGGACTTCGGCTATTTTACGGTTGTGAGTTGTCTATAGCTAGAGCTGTCGTCACCAGATGTAAACAGCTGAGCGTACTAAAGGCTATCATCGGACCAGTATGATTATGAGCTAGTCTGCGGTCTACTACACGTCAGAAATGCTCCGATAGCCTGTAGGCAAATGACTCACTGTGCCATCTCACTGCAATCCTAAACAATAATTTTTACCTTGTTGGCTAATAATGCGCTGTCCTTTGCTGATGTGAGGTAATAAATATAGAAATCTACAATTTTTAGCATTTTGACGATGGGGCGGAATTCGAAACGACTCGTGTTGTCGGCGTTTGATGATTACTTAAGGATTTAGGAAGTAGATTTCGAGGAACTGCTATAGCTTGCCATGTACCCGGGCCGCGATTCTGGGTAAACGGACACAGCGCTTCGCTCTCAACACTTTTGTCAGCGTCCGACGAGTGCCGTATCCGGTTGTTAGAACGGGAGTATCGAATGTTGTAAGGTGAGACGACTTTTCCTTTATGGGCAAAGGTATTTGTCTAATGTGTAACAGTAGAGAGATGATGTTTTCAAACATCGAAAATGAGAAAGAAGACGCTGCCGTCCGTTTACAGCCAACCGAATTAACATTACGTTTTACGGGAAAGTGCAAACTTCTGCCTTTAAGGGCAAGGGTATGCGCACTGCCTTCTTAGGAACTAAATATTTTATCACCATAAAAAATTAGCTTAACCCGTCCCCGCTGAAAAGTTGATTTGGGTCATACAAAACTCGTTATTGAAGAGTTTAGTGTCTATTTACAAAAGATAAATAGGTTAAGTGTAATAATCACATCATTATCACGATCGTTGTATGTTTTTATATGAATTTTAAAGCGAATTGGTATTGTACGGTAACCCGGGTCAGCTCTACGGATGTGGTCTATATGATACGGCGGAGTGATTCTTTTGTATCAGCAGTTGATTGTCTTGATACATACATACATAAAATGTTAGTCACCTATACGTATTCCGAAGGGATTGCTTAGGTATGTTGTTGCCGTAAACTTTAGTTTCATACCCTGGGAGCACCTGACCAAAGCAAGCATGCCCTAAAGTGCGAAACTCTCCTGCACGCAATTACGTTAACGTATAGCTAAAATCTTCTCGTTTATAAAGAAGGCATTGCTTAGTGATAGTTACTATTTGAAATATGATGCTCAATTTAAACGTTCTTTAGTATATATATTTTTTTTATAGATTACGAGATTTTAGCTTCATTGAAATTTCCTTCAAGGTAACGCTTAAGCTCTAACCGAAGTGGGAGGTAAAGCATGCCGCTAGCAGTGTATTGAAGGTGCAGATAGATATATTAATTCTGTGTGAACGGACAAACTTACGAGCAACATAAAGTTCATGTAAGCTATTTAGCAGCCGAGTCGTCCTATAAGGTTAAGTTTGCTTTTGTGCAATTATTTTCCCATTTAGAGATTGACAGCTAAGTTGTTAGCGTGAACTTCTGCCGCTAGAGGGCAGTCAGAATACTTTCGTAAATTTTCTCCTGGCCGTTACTGACTCATTTTGAATGAACCGGCAAAAAGATTCGAATGCGCCAAGTATCACTGAGAGTATGCTAGTTTCTCAAAAGTGTGTGTCCTTCTTGTGTGGCCTTTCGTGTAATAGCGGAAGGCGGGAATACCATCCAAAAAACCCCTGAAAGGGACGGTTCAAGTGGCGACGAATGAGAGCAACGATATTTTGTCTCGCCATTGTTTCATAAGCCGCGGCCATTGTTTCATAAGCCGCGGCCATGTATAATCACTTAAGTCGCGCTCTGAGAACGTGGCTTCGAAGGTCGAACTTGGAGTCGTGAATAGTCGGCCTGTGAAAATGCAGAGTAAACATTTTACATAGCCAATGATAGGCTTCGAAATTATGCGATGTGCTATGTCAAATCTTGTTTGTTTGTTTGTTTGTTTTCATTTTACTGGTGACATCCTAACGCCTATGAGGGGTGAATCATTAGCGCGTAATGTCTTTAACAAAGGCAGAGTTAGTAATCTTCATGTTGGCAATGGTTGTGATGTGTTCATGTAACAGAGGCGGCGCGTGCGGAACGTATAAAAGGCAAATAACTTACGCTCCTCGTATGTTTTTCGTACGATTTATGGAATGTAATCTTTTGAAGAGTAATTTAACATTCGTACCGTGTCAAAAATCAGAAACGCTGCGATGCTTTTTTGAGACAAGGGTCACAAAAGTCAGATTGTTGGGGGAAAAAAAGATGCCATTAATAAGAATAACAATTGAAGTACGTATCACAGTCACAACCAAAGTTATGGTACACTCCTGTGAGATTTGATTTGCCTTTTGGGCACCCGGAAATAGCGTGGTGCTCCGACATTCCGCGCGCAAAGGCTCTTGTTCTCGAAAAGTGAACCTATTACTTTATTGCGGCCGGTTCAATTGCTTGAAGTCGGCTCAATATATGCCGAGAAAGGTGTTCTATCTGCTGTCCGAATTATTCAAATGAACTTCGCATCACTCGTGGGGAACTCGTAGTTGAATTAACAGGAAGTTAACTTACATCGTACAGCGAGGCAATCTATTGTACGGATCAATAAAGCGCTGATCGCTGATCACTGCAATAACACTGCTATGAAGTATTGATTGCTATTTTGCCCAGTATGCGTTGACTCCTTCCTGTTCGATCGACCAGGAAATTCGAAGCCCTAATATGGGATCTTTGAGACTAGTGCATTAGACAGCCTAGTCCTATTTTATAGCTTTACCTTGCGCCTCCGATAAGAATTTTTTCTTGCACATTATTATAAGGAAACCAAATGCTCGGAAGACAGACCATTGTAATGGACCGCTTTCCGCCTAGGCCGTAAGTAGAGAGATGATCATCTCAATGAACGTTCTTCAAGTTTTATTCGCTCCTTGGATTGTCCCTGCCCGGTTGTCAGGTACAAAATTAAGCATCAACATAATTATAGTGACTGCCCGTAACATATATCTAAAATTGCCTGATGTATAATAGTATTTTGTTGACACTAGTCGCATCGGATCACTTTCAATATTATTTATTAGTCAACTAAGCTTACAACTAGTGGAAGAGCATACATAATTATGTGTGCTTAAAGAACTAGACCAATTGATATTCAAAAAGGTCTCGTAGGTTCCATAGGTTAGTCAAGCAGTATGTTACCGAAGCCTCAACATCGTTTGTCTGCTTTCAAAACAATAGTCACCCCAACCAGCAGCTGCAACATCTACTCTCTATATAAATACAAATAAACATATATATTTATAAATAAATATCTATAGAGAGAGAGCGAGAAAGGGAGGGAGGGAATGAAGAAATGGCAAACTTTTTTCGTCTCCATTTGTTATTGGACGTTTCAACTATTATAACTGGCAGCAACTACACACAGAGGACTCACTCTGTTGTCGTCGCAAACCCCCGATGGGTTTTGGATCGCCCAGACGGGCTAGCTAAACGATACTGGTGTATGGCAAAAGCCAAATCCTTGTTCGACCATCTACCCGTCATATACGTATATACGTTTGTGTCGTGAACGGCGTAAGTGTTGGCCATCAGAAAGGCTTACAGCGGTCAACTTCAGTCCCCTTCTCTCAGTGTGTTGTTGATAACTAGTGCAATAACAATAACGTCCAAGTCAGCGTAAGGCGCTTGATCGTACCACAATGAAACGCCTATTGTGCAGCCCCAGCTGAAGTGGGTAGACCACCATGTAAGAGCCCATAATTAATTAATGGTTATTATCAAATTACCTCGTTCTTTGTGCTATAAGATCGCTGCGCTGGGGTACCACAGTCGAGTAATCTCTCGACAAAAAGCGAACCCATTTTTCATAATCGCTCGCTTTTTCGAAACAATCAACTAACTGCAAGTTTCTCGCAATTAACTTTGCTTTTCTACTCGTGCTTGTTTATGGCACATTAATCACTTTACGTTCGCACTATATTCACAAAACTTTAGATTTGGGTAACTACAAGTTGCAGTTGTTCAAAAGCCGTCGTTCCATCGTTACCAGCGAAAAATACCCCTTGTTACGAACTTCTACGTAGGTTGTGACTAGACGTACAGAACTTACTATTGCAAGGAATTGTTTGTTTAAAGTTACGATTCAATCGAAATACTGTGTCGGCTACTTTGACCGTTTCGACGACATAGGTCTTGCCCTTAGAAGGTCCTGCAGGACAGCGCATTGTGCCAATGCAACAGAAACAGTTTCGCATACTCTAGCACAATGTCATTTCACCTCGGGAAACAAATTATGCTACGAAGTTCTGTCTTCTAGAAATTGCTTCCATGTGTGAAGCACTAATTAAAAATTTAGTTCCGAGGTAGCACACCGACTTCATATAACTAACATGGCTAACTACGAATCAGAGAATGGCGTCTTTCGATTACCTTGTTTTCCCCGCTTTCCTTGCCGCCGAACAACAGACGCTTAATTGACAAACAACGGCGAGCAATTAGATGGCCATACTTTGTTCTCGCCGTTAGTTCTTCCGCCGTAATCATCATCATCGTCATATTCCATATGTAAATCTATTATATCATCGCATACATCAGCATTATACCAGCGAAAGCCTTGCAGTCACTGCTGCTGTGCTGCTGCATACGTGAAAGTCCTTAATAGAAGTCGATATCTTCCAGCGTACGCAGATTGTGGACTTGGCAAAATCTGGTGTAGGTAAAAATTGTGTTCGGTTAGGCGTCGGACGGTGTTAAATGTTTATTTTCAGTTTCAACAAATGAATCGCGATTCATCTACCTACATGAGCGGCCACCATGGACTGTTTTATATCCAGCGTTGGGCGTTGCCCAGTGGCTTAAGTGAATCCACTCCACCAGACCGACTAGTCAGCGGGGTCCGTTCTCGACAAAGTTCCCTGACTCGAAAGTAATCACTGGAATTATTGCAACTTTTACGTTTTCTGTTTTTCTCTTGTCGTCGTTTCTGTTCGTCGTAGTGGCGGCCGATGCGCCTCCCGCTCGGGCCGCGGTACGCGCGCTGTGTGGCTTGTTCTTCGACCCAGCTCTCTTTGCTCATTGTACGGGTTCACTTGCCCTATTGTGTGTTTTAATTATTTTAGACAGGTAGACAGATAGATGTGACACTTTCCATAGCGTTGCGGTCCTGGATCGCCTGCTTGTTGCATTGTTTTCTATCTTGACTGGAGTACTCAAGACATATGCGTGTAATTTTCAGAGCTGACGCCTCGCCTACATGGGTGGTCTCTAGCGGCGCTTAATAGTACTATTGCTCCTTCAACGGCGGACTGTTAGGAAAAAATTGAGGGACTGCTGCCGGTCCTTTATCTCGGAATGGCTAGAGCAGTCACTTCTCACAGCGCTGCGTAGCGGATATGATCATCGCGATATCTCTTGTATTTGCATTGAGGTAGTCTTTTTTCGGCTCCTTTAATTTAACGACCCGATACTATCGTAGGACCGCGCACGTCATACGGCATACATTTGTACGCTACA